AACCCAGCACCGCCTCTGAGACCCTTGCTGGGAGTCCCCAGGGCACAGAGGTGCACTGAAAACGACCAAGCAGGGCTGCGTGCCGGAGATGAGGGGAGCGAGGAGGGGTCTTTCACCTGAGGACCACCAAGGCCTTTCCAGACATCACTCACCACAGCAGCCTTGTGACCGAGGGAGTATTAATGCACCCCCATTTGACAGGGGAGGGGCAACAGAGAAGTTAAACACACTAACCCAGGGCCAGCAGCAAAGTCAGGAAAAAAGGCTAGGAGTCCTGACTCCCAGGCTGGCAGTAGGACCCACTCCCTGGCTCTGCTGCTGCCTATTTGGGCATGTCCCGCCCCTCTCTGTGCCTCAGTTTCCCAATCTGTAAAATGGGGGTGATGCAACTGACCTCCTTTGTAAAGAGTTTTGTGATCTGCTGATGCAAAGCAGCATGCCCGGAGCTAGGCATGACTCCCACCCAGCACGGTCTGACCGGCAGGGAACAACCCACCAAGTGCCTGCTTGTCCACACTACCTCGAACAGAAAATCACGCAGCGTAAGGGAGATGGCGGAGGTTCCTGTGGGCAGGATTCTGAGCTTACCAGGTGCAAGGTGTCCTCCTGGCTTGGTTTCATCTTTGACACTGCTCCAGTCCTTCTGCCCCCAAGAGATCGGCTGGGTCTGCTTTGCTCTGAGGACAGGGAGGAATCCTCTTGCTCTCCGCAGGCACCAAAGGCGTCTTTTGGATGCCTGCTGTGAAGCTGAACAGACTGGCTGAGCCCGTGTCTCTTGGTGCTGAACCGCTGCTGAAGTTCCAGGCTGAGGGCTGCAGATAGCACCGACAGCTTCTTCCAACCCAAAGAGACTAAAGACTCAGGAGCTGTTGAAAAAGTCTCAGTGCCCTGGGACTTGGGAGGTGGGGGTTGGCCTGGAGGCCCGTCGCCAGATCACTGACATACGTTCTGCTGCCAGGACTCTTGGCAGAGTTTCCGTAGTGCTCAGTCTCTTGCAGGCCGTTTCAGACACAGGACTGGCTCTGTTAGTGATTCTGAACTGTTCCTGGTTCCGGCCCTTTTTCAGGACACAAATCAGACTGTGGAAATATGGCCCTGTGCCCCTCCAAAGTAAACTTATTAAAGGAAAGTCTCTGAGATGAAGCACCCCAAATGTGGGCTTGTGGGGGGATTTGGGAAGCAACAATGGGAGGCAATGAGGCCTAGTGGACAGAGCAATGGACTGGGACACAGGAGACCTGGTTCTATTCCCAGCTCTGCTGCTGGCCTGCTGGGTGACCTTGACTGCATCACCACCCCCTTGTGCCTCAGTTTCCCCATCTGTAAAGTGGGGATGATGATATTGACCTGCTTTGTAAAGGGCTTTGACATCTACTGATGTAAAGTGGTTGATCAGAGCGAGGTGGGATAGTTATTGGCAGCTGGGCAGCCTGCTCCCCATACTGCCACCTCTATTAGCATCACCCACTTCGCTGAGCACGAGACTCAGAAAGGGAAAGTTCACTGGAGGGCACAGCCCTGCCCAGTTCCCCCAGGGCAACAGATTTTTCCATCTCCACTTGCTGTGACGGAACTTGTGTTCAGCTCAGCAGCGAGCCAAGCCCTGGGATACTGGGTCTCCTGAGCTAACGGATACGCCTTCCTGTCTTGACTTCTGAGCGCCCTTTAATAGAGCTTTCTGGATGGAACCTCCTGGAGGAAAGCGTAAGGAACTGGGGTGGAGGCAGTCTGGCCTAGCAGTCACAGCCGGGCTGGTGGTGTCCACACATAGAGGTTAGCCTCAGGACTGTACTACATAGGCTGGGGTCAGAGGAAGCACTGCCCTTGGCAAACCAGGCACTTGCCCCCCAGAACTCACTCCTGCTCATCTCAAACACTGAGCTCAGGTCCCCAACAACCACCATCAGTGCCGGGTTCAATAAGCAAGAGTCAGGGTCTGAGACCAAAAGAGATGGTGTGCTCGGGAGTCACAGCTGGCCAGACATCAGTGGAGCTGCCCAGACAACTTCAGGCACTAGGCACTGCAGACCTAGGTTCCGGTCCCACGGATCCTGAAGAGAGGGGGTCCAAAGGAAAAGGACAAAATGAGGAAGCTCCACCATGGCCAAGCAGTTGCTAGACAGCTGCCAGCTGATCTCTCTGATGCAACGTGTAAGGAAGGAGGGAGGGTCCCTTGTCTCTGTCCACATGTAGCTTGGAAGGCTCTAGGGAAGTGGTCTCCCAAGTTTTTGGATCGCGCACCCCCACGGTGCTGCCGAAGAAAGGAGAGGGGAAGACTTACCGCAGGCGTGTTGCCGAAGAAAGAAGGGGGGAAGACCTGCCGCAGGCGTGCAGAGCTGCCGCCGAAGGAAAAAAAGGCGGAGTGTCGTCTGGAGGCGCTCCTCCTGCCGCGCACCTCCCAGGATTCTCTGGCGCACCCCCTGGGGTGCACACACCCTACTTTGGAGACCACTGCTCTAGGGTATCACTAGAGCTCTGAGGCACAGAGAGGCATCATGGAGTTTAAGGCCAGATGGGAGCACTAGGTCATCTGGTCTGAACTCCTGCATATCACAGGCCACCAGCCGCAGAAAGGAGATAGACTACTCCATGCCACACGCGGAGAATAGGAGGGACTGAGGTGCACCCGTGCTCCAGGCCCATGCAGGAGCAGGAAAGTGATTAAATGAGATACACCTTGGCAAGCGACCTGCACCCAGATGCTACAGAGGCCGGCAAAAAACCCACAAGCTCACTCCCAATCTGACCCGAGGGGGGATTCCTTCTTGACCCCACACACGGCAATCAGGGAGACCCCTGGGCACATGAGCAAGAACCAGGCAGCCGAGAGAAACTGGGTACCACCTCCGAGCCCTGGCCCACCCTGTCCAGCATCCCATCTCCAGCTGTGGCCATCCCTGAGTTCAGCCTCGGCTGTTGTTGGCAGCCCCGTAATTCTCCTTCATACATGTATCACGATGCTTCTTAACGCACGTCAGCTCCCAATGTGCTGCTTTTCTTCTTTTTCATCGTTTCCTAGGGTTTAACGCCAGAAGGGACCATGAGATGATGTAGGCTGACCCCCAGCCTAGCGCAGGCATTACCGGTCACCCAAATACCCCTGTGCTGGGCTCAATTCCTTTGCTTAGACCAAAGCATTTCAGTCCTCAGGAGATCAAACTGTTGGGTGCTACAGGCAGGGAGCAGGAGAGACCAAGGTGCCACCAATGCCTGAGGCCCCTGCCTTGGCAGAGACCAACCCATGCCCCGGCCAGCAGGGAGCATGGCGCAAGTGGCATGGACCACTCATTTCTCAGCCAGCAGGGGGCGCTGCAGTGGATGGAAATTTGGGGAGCCCAGCTCCCTGCACAGGCCAGCACACGGCGAACGCAGACTATGAGCCGAGCCATGAATCCCCCTGGCTCTGGGCCCTGTGTAGCTGGGATCTCCCTGCGCTAGGTGCCTGCTGCCGCAGAGTTAATATTTCACAGATCACATGATGGGCGATTGCTGGGGCTCCATGGGCCCTGCCCACTCCACGCACTGCCATTGACTCCCCCGACTGCAGGGAGATAGGATGTTGCAATCCCTGAGATGGGCACACTGCTTCCCCAAACAACATCGCAGCTTGGGGGCGAGGGGACACAGATTCCTGTCTCCTTCCTTCTTGCTCCCCCACCCAGGGAGATCACAGCACATACTGACTGCTCCCTCTGGCTCACCCCCTTGCTGAGATCGACTGTGATCTCTGAGCACACAAGGGGGATGCACATGGTGTGTGTGTGTGTGTGGGGGGTGTAGTTATTTGCTCTAGTTCTCAAGCTCTAACTAGGTCACATGGTGGCAGGATGCTGCAGATGTCAATGGCACGAGGTCAGTGGGCCAAGGACGCAGTGAGCCCTGTGAGACACTTCTCCTTCCCACTACCCAGAGAAGTTAGACTCTACGGCAGCCCCGGATTGGGTTGGAAATCCAAGCTGTTTGCTAAGCCTGGAGTAATCGCAGACAGGCTGGTTATAATGGGCCCCAAGGGACAGGCGGGGTGGGAGACGAGCCATCACTGGGGCTTGGAACAAGGCTGGACAGTAGACAGCCAAGCCGAAAAGCAGGCAAACAGCCCAATCGGAGATCCGAACCATAAGCCTTCCTGACAGAGCTGTGCATCGCTTCCCCGGGACTAAACATCCTGGGCACAGAACCCCCCGACCTGCAGAACCCCCGAGTCCCCTCTTCCACACCTTGGAGGAGCTGTGATCTTGCCAGATCTTGTAGATTCAAAGGAACCGAGACTGCTTGCACAGGACCTGAGCCTACAGCGGCTGTTGCACGGGGGGACCCGGAGGGGGAGCTCTCTCTTCTGAGCCAGTGCTGGCTCCAATCCGGTGCAAGGGGGCACTGTAATACCGGGAGCAGCGTGGGGAGGTTCGGTAGGGGGCACTCTCCCCTCTGTGCCAGCCTCCCCTCTGTGCCCACCATTTGCCATGTGCGTCCCCCTTCTGCGCTCTTGGCACGGGGACGGCACCGAACATGCCGGCTTCCAGGTGAAGCAGAACGCTGACGGCCAAGCTCCGCGACCCGGGGTGCAATCTCATCACAACCCAGCAGCACGGACACCCCAGACTCTGCCGTCTGTCCGGACACCCCACGAAAAGCTGCTTCACTAGCGAAGCTGGAAATTGAAACCTGAACGTTCAAAGGCGCCTTCTGAGTTTGGATGCCTCAGATTTTGGGCGGCCAAAATTGACCCGGGCACTAACTGGGTCTCCAGAAATTGAGACATCCTTGAAAAATTGGGTGTCAACTTCCCTGCCAGCAGGATTTGGAGTCGGGTGGAACAAGGGGTGATGGATGGGCACTAAATGAAGCTGGGGTTCCCAGAAAGGGCTGCCTTTTGCAGAGGTGCACCGAAGGAGTCCACCATGGGCTTAGGATGGGGCCTACTGATTAATCAGCTATCCATCCAGGCAGCACCTTCATCGCCCCACAAAGCTAAGGGAAAGAGCCAGAACTAGATATGTTACCTTCTCCTTCTTGGAGCTGTCCATCCTGGTTCTGCGATCCAGCATTGGAGCAGCTGTCCGCAAGGGGTGGGCTGCTGGCAAATCTGTCATGCACTGAGTCAAAACACACACCACCACTTGTTTCCTTGCCCCGGAAATATTCCACCTCTTGCCCCTGAAGCAGCTGGTCCTGGGCTGAGAAGACAGGTCCCCCCTGCTGTGCTTGTGAATGCTCCACTTTCCCCGCTGGTTTATTTCAGTTGTAGGCTGATTGTTTGGTTTCCTCTTTTCTAGTACGCAAAATCAAAACCAAAGCAATTCTGCTCCCGTTTCCCCTTCTTTCCCTGGACTTTGTCTTGCCCCAGCCCCCAGGATCTCAGCCTCCTTCTAGTTTGGGGGTTCACTTGGTGGGATGGGGTGAAGGGACGTCCGTCACGTCGGGATCCATTTTGTCACCCTGCATCTTGTCAGAAGAGAAGCAACGAGTCCCTTCCTGGCGACTGAAGGTCTCCTCCTCTCCTCGGGGTAATGGAGCATGGGGGATCAGCTTCACTCACCCACCTGCCCGGTTCCTCCAGTCACTTCCCAACCTACCAAGAAGTTTATTTACTTTTTCTCTTGCTGACACCCTCCCATTTTTGCCCTCAAAGGGGTCCCACGTTGCATCCTGAGATCTTGAGATTAACTTCGCATTACTGGGGCAACCAGGGAAATCCTGCTGCTGTCCTGCTTCATCGAGCCCCCTCCCCATCTGTCCGTTAGGGCTCTCATGCAGAAGGCCACCGCCATGGTGATCAGTCTTCCTTCAAATTGTCATAACAACCACTTTATCTCCTTGTTACTGCGGTAACCACTCTACTGCAAGACTTAGCAACCTGTTCTGCTCCCATGGTGACCATGTTGGGTCAGAGAAACCCACTTCCAAGTGACAAAGGTTAAAAAAGAGGAGGAAGGTGCTTAGATGAGAAGTCTGAGCAAAGGCGAGGGTAAACGGGAAGCATCTGCTGTGACGGGAATGAAACCAGGGTCCAGCTCTGCATTGCTCCCCTTTCAGAGGCCAACGAGATCTGGAATAGGCAAGGAGCCGCCTGGCCCAGCGATCCTGCTAAGGCACAGTCCTGGGATCACAAATGAAGCCCAGACAGTTATTTCGTTCTTGAAGCTGAGCACAGCCAGCGCGAAGAGGAAAACAAGGCAGTTGCCCCCAAAAGCTTCCAGTCTAATTCAGACGGAGCCACTGATGTAACACACCAGGTTACAGAGCACACCAGCAGGGCAGCAGATCTCTTAGGCGGCTTTGCAGAACATGTGGTGGCATCTCCGTCACTTGAAGACTTTAAATTAAGGCTAGATGTAGATATAATGTAGCTCTTACAGAAGCTCGGGGCTTGATGCAGAAATTTTGGGGTGGGGTTCTCTGTTCTGTGGAGGAGGGTACACAGCAAACAAGCCTCACCCTTGAGTATGGTGGTGCTATCACTCCGCTATAATATTGACTTGAAACCAAGATGGGTAGATCTGTATCGCTTCTAGTGTGGATGCAGTTACCTCAGCACATCCGTGCTTACCCTGGTATCAAGGTGATGACCCTGGTACAAAGGGCCTTACTCACGTATAGTGGGGCTCATACTGGTATAGTGTGTCTACCCTGGTATAGTGGGGCCCAACCCAAGTATATTGGGGCTCACCTCAGTATAGTGAGGCCTACCCCGATATATTGAGGCAGATTCTGGTATATCAGTGCTCACCCCAGTATTAGGGTTGACAGGCACCCGGTCGAAAAGGGACCCTGGCAGCTCCAGTCAGCCCAGCTGACCACGTCCAGTTTGCCGCAGCAGCTGGCAGAGCCCCCTTGGCCGTCCCTGTGCCTAGGAGCTGGCAGGACATGCCGGCCACTTCCGCGAGCTGCCTGAGGTAAGTGCCGCCCAGAACCGCACCCCCTCCCACACCGCAACCCCATTCCCCAGCCCTGAGCCCCCTCCCGCACCCAAACTCCCTCCCAGAGCCCGCACCCCAACCCCCGCTCCAGCCCTGAGCCCCCTCCCGCACCCAAACTCCCTCCCAGATCCCGCACCCTCTTCCATACCCCAACCCCTTGCCCCAGCCCTGAGCCCCCTCCCGCACTCCGAACACCTCAGCCCCAGCCCAGAGCCCCCTCCTGCACCCCAAACTCCTCATCCCCGGCCCCACCCCCAGCCATAGCCCTCACCCCCCTGCACCCCAACCCCCTGCTCCAGCCCAGAGCTCCCTCCCACACCCTGAACCCCTCATTTATGGCCCCATCCTGAAGCCCGCACCCCCTCCCACATTTCCAACCCCCTGCCCCAACCTGGAGCCCCCTCCCACACTCCAAACCCCTTGGCCCCACCCCCCCAGCTTAGAGTCCCCTCCTGCACCCCAAACCCCTCATCCCCAGCCCCACCCCAGAGCCTGCATCCCCAACCGGAGCCCTCCCCCTCCTGCACCCCAACCCTCTGCCCCAACCTGGTGAAAATTAGCGAATCAGCGAGGGTGGGGGAAAGTGAGCAACAGAGGGAGGGAGGAATGGAGTGAGCAGGGGTGGGGCCTCAGGGAAGGGGCAGGGCCTCAGGGCAAGGGTCAGAAAGTTGGCAACCCTGCCCAGTATGTTGAGGTTGATCCCTGTCTGGTGCGCCCACCCCAGTATATTGGAGCTGACCCTGCTATGTTGGGGCCAATCCTTGCATAGTGGGACCCAGCCCAGTATATTGGGGATGACCCTGTGTATCAGTGCTCACCCCTGTCTAGTGGGGTTCACCCTGGTATATTAATACTGACCCTGGTATAGCAGGGCCCATTCTGATTTATTGGTGATGACCCTGGTATAGTGGGGCCCATAGAATCCTAGGACTGGAAGGGACCTCGAGAGGTTGTCTAGTCCAGTCCCCAGCACGCATGGCAGGACTAAGTATTATCTAGACCATCCCTGACAGGGGTTTGTCTAACCTGCTCTTAAAAATCCCCAATGATGGAGATTCCACAACCTCCCTGGGCAATTTAGTCCAGGGCTTAACCACCCTGACAGTTAGGAAGTTTTTCCTCAAGTCCAACCTAAACCGCCCTTGCTGCAATTTAAGCCCATTGCTTCTTGTCCTGTCCTCAGAGGCCAAGGAGAACAATTTTTCTCCCTTCTCCTTGTAACAACCTTTTATGTACCTGAAAACTGTTATCATGTCTCCTCTCAGTCTTCCCTTCTCCAGGCTAAACAAACCCAATTTTTTCAGTCTTCCCTCAGAGGTGCTGTTTTCTAGACCTTTCATCATTTTTGTTGCTCTTCTCTGGACTTTCTCCAATTTGTCCCCATCTTTCCTGGAATGTGGCACCCAGAACTGGACACAATGCTCCAACTGATGCCTAATTAGGACAGAGTAGCGCAGAAGAATTACTTCTCGTGTCTTGCTTACAACACTCCTGCTAATACATCCCAAAATGATGTTTGCTTTTTTTGCAACAGTGTTACACAGTTGACTGATATTTAGCTTGCGATCCATAACCCCCAGATCCCTTTCCGCAGTGCTCCTTCCTAGGCAGTCATTTCCTATTTTGTATGTGTGTAACCGATTGTTGCACACAACCTTCCTAAGTGGAGTACTTTGCATTTCGATTGTTGACACACAACCTTCCTAAGTGGAGTACTTTGCATTTGTCCTTATTGAATTTCATCCTATTTACTTCAGACCATTTCTCCAGTTTGTCCAGATCATTTTGAATTTTAATCCTATCCTCCAAAGCACTTGCAACCCCTCCCAGCTTTTAGTCTGCGGAAGAGAAGAACGAGGGGGGATTTGATAGCTGCTTTCAACTACCTGAGAGGTGGTTCCAGAGAGGATGGCTCTAGACTATTCTCAGTGGTGGAAGAGGACAGGACAAGGAGTAATGGTCTCAAGTTGTAGTGGGGGAGGTTTAGGTTGGATATGAGGAAAAACTTTTTCACTAGGAGGGCGGTGAAGCACTGGAGTGGGTTCCCTAGGGAGGTGGTGGAATCTCCTTCCTTAGAGGTTTTTAAGGCCCTGGCTGGGATGATTTAATTGGGGATGGGTCCTGCTCTGAGCAGGGGGCTGGACTAGATACCTCCTGGGGTCCCTTCCAGCCCGGATAGTCTAGGAGTCTATGATCAGCGTACTCTCCGTGCCAGCATTACTCAACCTGGGGACGTGGACCACGGGGGGTCCCGGCGCGGCTGATAACCCCCCCCCAGCTCCTTCCCCGCCCTCGCAGCGCCTCCTGCACACGGCGGAACAGCTGTTCAGCAGCCGCCCGCACGTGGCGGCAGGTGGGCGAAGCTGCCGGCCAGGCGGACGCTCATTGGCTGGGTCCCCCAGCGGCCGCGGGCATGCGCAGTGCGAGAGCGCCCCGTGGCACTGACCCCCCCCCTCCCCGCCGGCACTTCCGGCCGCTCCATTTTGCTTCCGGGTCAGCGCGGGGCGGCGGCGGTTCTTTGCTCCGCCCACTGCCCAGGCCGTCGCAGCAACCGCCGGAGCCGCAGGAGGGAGGCGGGACCCGCCCGGTACCGACCCCCGGGTGCGAGCGAGCTCCTGAGGGCGGGGCGGCGGGTCCGTCCTGCCTCCGGCGGGGTCGGGCGGGAGCGGGAGTCTCCGAGCCCCGCGCGCCGGGGGGGCCGCAGCCAGGCCCTGCTCTGCTGCGGGTGTCGGGGCGGTGGGGCCGGGGGGGGCGAAGGGGGCTCTCGGGGATGCGGGGGGCGGTCCGGCCTGGGGGGGGGCTCTCGGGGATGGGGGGGGCTCTCGGGGGCGAGGGGGGCGGTCCAGCCTGGGGGGGGGCCGCTCTCGGGGATGCGGGGGCGGGCGCTCTTGGGGGGCGGTCCGGCCTGGGGGGGGGCTCTCGGGGGTGGACCGGGAGGTGGGGGTGCAGGGGGTGGTCTGGGCTGGGGGGCACTCTCGGGGTGGTCTGGGAGGTGGGGGGGGCTCTCGGGGGTGGGGGGCGGTCTGGGCTGGGGGGGGCGGATCCGGCCTGGGGGGGAGGGGGCGGGTGGTCCGGGGTGGGGGGGCTCTCGGGGGGTGCGGGGGGTGGACCGGGAGGTGGGGGGTGCAGGGGGTGGTCCGGGCTGGGGGGGCACTCTCGGGGTGGTCTGGGAGGTGGGGGGGCTCTCGGGGGTGTGGGGGGCGGTCCGGGCTGGGGGGGCTCTTGGGGGTGAGGGGGGTGGTCTGGTCGGGGGGGGGGGCTCTCAGGGGTGAGGGGGGTGGTCAGGGCTTGTTTCCTGGGTCTCTTCACCAGCCCTGACTCCGACCTTCTCGCTCAGGCGGCTGCTGGGAAGGCACCAGGATGAAGCTTTACAGCCTAAGTGTCCTTTACAAAGGCGACCCCAAAGTGCACTTGCTGAAAGCTGCCTTCGACTTGTCCTCGTTCAGCTTCTTCCAGAAAACCAGGTGGGTCGGTCGGTCCCTGAGGTGTTGGCTGGGGAACTCTCTCCCCTGTGCTGAGCGGCCGCCTCCCTGGTTGGAACAAATAGCTCCATAAGGGCGACCAGGGGTTGGTGCGCAGGCTTGGGGGGCTGGGGTTCAAGCCCGTGCTCTGCCACAGGCTCCCTGTGTGAACCCCAGCAAGTCACTTAGGTCGATCCACAAAGGAAGGTAGGTGGGTGCCTACATCTCATTTTTGGTTTCACCGACTGGGGACAAACCCCTACCTATCATGAGTACAGGAGGCAATCCAGTAAGCAAGCTCAGAGGCTGCCTGCTGGATTAGGTCCCGTTCAAAATCTGGCCAAAGAGGAGGAAGTGGTCTTCATACCACTCCCCTTTATAACATTTAGCCCAGTGGTTAGAGCACTCACCTGGGATCTGGGAAACTTAAGTTCAGTTCCCCCTCTGCCTGATGGGGAGAAGGGATTTGACCAGAGGTGTCTCCTCTCTTAGGGGGGTGTTCTAACCCCTGAGCTATGGGGTATTGTGCTGTGGGGCTCTCTCAGTTCTTCCATTTGGAGCTATTCCTCTGTGGATAAATAGTGACACACTGGTTGGAGAAAGGGGTCTGCGTCATGTGTGCCCTGCCTCCCAAGTGAGTCCTCTAAGCGTCAGGCTGCAGTGCCATTCTCTCTTTCACACCCAGTGGCTCGTTCAGTATTTATTCCCAGTGGAACAGTCTGTAAAACAGGGATGGTAATCTGTCCCTGTGGGGTATGGTGATGGTAACTGCATGAGAGATTGTGTGGTGGTCACATACTACAGTAATAGGGCCCATAGAAGTACCTAAGATGGGTAGAACGAACATCCAATACGAGTGACCTTTTAAATGGGTGAATAAGGTGTTTTTTGTATTATCACAGCAAAAGGTCTGTGAATAGATCAGTGTCTGAGCTGGTATGTTTTGCAGGTTTTACAAGGCTGATGCAGTGGGGTATACAAAATAAGAGAGCATATATTGATGTGAATTGTAATCCATATCCTAGATAATGTGTCAACAGATCTGTTTAGTCTCACAAGCTTCTCAGCTCATGAAGAGACTTGAAAAACAAATGGGAGATAATTTGTGGGTTTCGCTTTACCAATCCAGCTGGAGCGATCAGTGTATTTGTATTTAGCAATTGCTGGTATTGTCCCACTTGTGATAACATACTATGTACTTTGCTTAAGGTGTTTAGTTGTGTAGAGACTACTGCTGATGGTTCAGGCCAGAGTGCTCAAAGCTAAATGCTAATCCCAGCTCCTTGTCATCCTGGTGGTTCACAATGCTCTCAGCATTAGGGTGTAATCTGTACTTGCAGAAGAGTTTACCCATGTTACCCTTATGTCAGTTAACCTGTGCTAGAAGTACAGCCCCCAACCATTAAGATGGGGTAATACCCCTAAAGCTTTTGAAAGAAGTAGTTGTATTCGCAAGTGCCTGACTGCAAAACAACTTCCCTTCTAACCTCCTGGTTTCAGATGCTCATAATTTTAAGAAATATTTGCCTTCTGCCCTGAAATTTTCCATGCTTGGTGTGTGTCCAGAGGTGACTTTTGAAGCAGGAGCAAACTCTCTCTTCTGTGGTTCTGATGTGCGGGAGGGCAGAGTGAGTTTGGAGGAGGAATACCATTGTTAGAATTTATTTTATAAATGTTTACTTCCTTTGCCAAGGTTACACAAAAATAGCTGAGATTTGAATCTTGGCCATTACTTGATACTTAGGCCTGCTGGGGCTTTTACTTGATGGTGGATTATGTTAGGGGGATTTTTTTAAAAGATAAGCATTAAACAAACGCACTCCTGTGCTCCTTCTGCGATTTACCTGTGCCTAAGGAAGCTGTACCCCTCTGACATCATTACATATTTTCCCTGTTTGGCATGACCAGAGATCTTGCATGTACGAGGGCTGATGCATGAGGGGAAACTGCAATTTGCTAATTGAAATAAAGTTAATAAAATCCTCCTGGAAGAACTGCCTTAATGTCAGAGGCAGAAAAAAATCACAGATGCAGGAAAAAGTCACAGATCCTACAATTTGTCCAGAGTCGTTGATGCGTTCTACAACAGGCTGCTAATGGGAATTTATTTTTTTTTTTTAAAGAATCAGTTTCTTTTTATTTTCAAAATTTACAATCACCTCAATGTAAATTGATCAACGCTAGTAGAATCCCAGGGAGTCCTGCCGTATCTCCCCCTAACTCAGGCCCACTCAGATGCAAAGACGACATAAAGAACAGGTAGTTTTCTCTTACTCATTTAAAAAAAATCTCAATTGTGGGGGGAAATAATTTCCCCGCCTTATTAATTTGACTGCTTTACACATGCATAATCTTGTACTGCTTTTTTTTCCTTGCTAGTATCCCAATCCTGCAAACACACACGTGCTTAACTTCGTGTGCACAAGTAGCTCCTTTGAATTCAGTGTGTAAACGCTTGCAAGCAGTATTAAGGATTAACAAATTTGGCCTAAAATTTGAATTTTGTCTTAAGTTTTTAGTGTCTCCTGGTCCTGGAAAGGTACTAGGATTTTAAAGTGAATGTTTAAATGCTTTTTTTAATTCATGGCAATCTTGTCCAGTGATGTCTTTCATGAGACTTACTAAAATGTCATAATTAAACATGGAGGGGCAGGTGAGGGAGAGAGACTGTGATCAGGTACCTCACAGAGTACCTAATTTAATGCCCCACCTGCACTTTTTTATCAGAATCGTAATTTGAGTATTTTTCAGAATTGTCACCAGGAATTAGCAGCCGTGTTAGTCTGTATCCACAAAAAGAACAGGAGTACTTGTGGCACTTTCGAGACTAACCAATTTATATGAGCATAAGCTTTCGTGAGCTACAGCTCACTTCATCGGATGCGCTCAGATAAGTTGGTTAATCTCTAAGGTGCCACAAGTACTCCTTTTCTTTTTACCAGGAATTAGGTTTGTTTTGTGTTGTGTTGTAATCAGACCTTGGTCTTATTCCTTAAAAATCTGCACGTGCCTGGAATTTCAAATTCATACATCATCTGGCAGCCTGTATTACAAAACCTGAGACCAATAGGAATGATTCTGCAGTCTTTCATTTCAAGCTCCGATGGAACACTTTCCTGAGCAAATTTTCCCCTGCAGGTTTTGGAAGCCTTATGTTGCAGTACTGAGAATCTGAAAGTGAAACTGACTTTTGATTCCCCATTGTCCAGACTGGGAGTAATGCAAAAAGTAAATAGTAACAAGTGAATTGACTACTTAAAACTTATCAATTTCAATAATTGAAAATGGGTAAAACAAACTGGCTAACTACACATTAACATTGTCACTTTATAGCAGTATATGATTGCATTAATCCATATATTTCATCTAAGTTGTATATCGTAGAGGTGGGGGTGTAGAAACTGTCTAAATGTGGAATGCATTGCAACAGCGTGGATTTAAACAAAACTTGTGGTCTGAACAAGTATGTGCCGAGAATGGTTTGTTATAAAGGCAGCTTTCTGTGTACTGGAGCTTGAAAGAGGGCAGGAGAGCTATTGTGGGATGTGGGGAAGATGGCTGAATAAGGCAGCAGTAAAGGAGCTATAGGGGGGTGCAAATTATCCTTTCCAGAAGCTGTTTTTGACTTGAGTTATTCAAAAAGGCCAGGTAGCATACCTGAAAATAAAGTATGGGACTCTGGGCTTCTGGTGGGAAGAGAGCATTGCATAAAGGCCATACTTGCTACCTTTGGTTGGTTAGTCTGTTCTAATCTGTGTTTTACTCCTGGGGAGTAGTCCCACTAAAACCAGTTGTGGGGCTTGAAGTTACCAGATTCTTAGCTAGACTCTAGCCTCCCTAGTGGGATTCGGGACTGTGCTCTGACTAGAACCTGCTGATCCTTGCACCTGAAGCCCCTAGGAAGAGGGAGGTAGCTGGGATTTTGGCCTGGTGGACTCTGCTTAGAAGCACCATCTTTTATATGTCTGACTAGTAGGTGTCTGATAAATGTGAATGTCCACATCCTGCCCCTTCCCCCATGCAAACCAATAGCTGAAAGGGAGAAGAATTTCTCTCTTCTCAGCCCTCCAAAGCCTCCTGACAATTGATGGAGTGTACGTTTCTGCTAACAAGCATGGTGCTTCCTTGTGACTAACTCCAGCGCCTGCCTGTGCTCCTAGTCTTCCCCAAGAGCAGTGTGAAACTGACAGAAGTCTTGGCAGTTTCACAGCTGCTTCCAGGATTCTAAATGGAGGGGTGGGTTTACATCTCTCCCCAATTGTTTCAGTTTGCAGACTCAAGACACGGCTATCTGTTTATTCTTGGTTCCTGTTTTCAAGGCTATCCTTATAACTGAGGTCTAGAAATAATGTACTTATGAAATGAAAGCCTAGATTTTTGCAGAGTCTGAGTATACTGTGCAGGCCCCAAAAATACATCAACCAGGATGAATGTATGACACGTCTATTTTAGTGCACTTCACGCTACGTTAGTGAGACTGCTCTGGGATGCAGTGCACTTGCTTTTAAAGCCGGAACAAGAGGAAATACAACTTGAAGACAGCTTTGAGGAAAAGAATTTGAGACTAAGAGGAAGATTAAAGGCACTTGAATGTTTTTAAACTGAAATGGTGGTGAACTTTCCCCTTCTTTCCCCTTCCCCCTCTCCTTAAAGGCAAGTAAGTCTTTTCCTTCCCTCCTTTTATGGGGTTAAAACCAGGAGAAATAGCTTTTGGGGCTCTTCCATGTTAGTAATGAAGACTTCTGCTTCAGGTGTTCAGTTACCACTAAAATGTCTCTCCTGCACTCCACCCCTGCACAGTTGCTCTGGGATCTGCATTAAGTTAGTGTCTTTCTCATGCATCATCCCCAGTAATAAAGATTCTCCCGGCCAAACAGACTCTGTGACACTTCTGGAAAGCCAAGGAAGGTCAAGTGATTAGACCTTGGTAAATTCCAATGATGCACAAAAAGGGATTAAATTCAATTCACTCTCCCCGAATGTCTTGGCACTTTAGGGCTCTCAGGAGTAAAGAAAAGCAATTAATTTTTAGTCACTAAAATCAGGAGGTCTCTTTAAATACGCACGGGGCAGATCTTAAGTTTGACAGTGTCAGTTAACTTCGTTCCTAAGTCAATCAGGGACAAATTCAACTTGGAGATTAGAAAACTCTGATAAGGCTGTGAAATGGGAATGGTCTAATGAAATTTCTGGGCTAAAGTCAGGTGTCATGGTTAGACACTTGTGGACAGGATACTTTAAAAGAGTCCTTCCTGGTGGACTGATTGACCAAGAGGGCCTCTCCCTGCCACTGCACCTGTAGTTCGCCTACTGTAAAGTAATCGTGAATACCACCCGTGTTCCCAATATCTAAACCACCGCACAAGCGTAGGAGTTAATAGAGAACCATTGTAAGATACTGGGGCTTGATGGAAAAAGAAACTTACGTACAGTATATAAGAAAGCAGAATGCCTTAGCAGTGTGTGAAAAAGACCCTCTTCATGGAGACCACCACTTGTGTCCCACATGCTGTTCACTGGCATTCCTAAGAGAGTAGGCTAGGATGAGAACCGAGGCTTCATGCACACCTTTTAACGCTAGGCAGCAAAGGTGCATTGCCTTCTGTGTAGCCCCCGCCCTTCAGTTCCACGCAGTACACATACTGAAGTGCATATGGTAGGGCTGGGTAGTAACACAGACCTGTGAGTTAATTTATGTTAATCAGCAGAGCCGACGCTGGTGGTCTGGGTCTGTAGTTGGCTCCTGCTAGTTGGCCCGGTTCTCAAAGTGGTCAAGGCGCTATCCTGAGTGCAAGATTTAAAGGAACCCTTTTTATTGGTCACCACAATTTTCCCATGAGCACCTGCTCTGCAGTGAGTTAATACAGCAGCTGCTGGCAAAGTCGTTTTGTTCTCGGCACCATTGTGGCGATCGGTCTGTTTGGGGGTGGGGAGATGCTAGTGTAAAAGAATGTTAAGTAATGAAATGCTTTGTGTTTGCAGTGTTCAGGAATTCATGACCTTCACGAGCCAGCTGATTGTAGAGCGCTCGGTGCTGGGCAGCCGAGCATCAGTGAAGGAGCAAGGTAAGAGAGGACGCAAGGGTCTTGATCGCGCAGGGTTACGAAGGGTAACGTACCGGAATGCAGATTTTCTGTATCTTGCGAGATACAGAGCAGCTGTGTGCCTTGGAGAGTTTAATTCTTTTCCCTGGGCATCTGCTTCTCCAGAGACTCTGTTGCTGGCTACTGTCCCCCTCCCTTTCATTGCGATCGGCAGGAGCTGTTTCTCTGGCTACGCAAGTCATGCAGGATTAGTCAAACATCCGGCCTAAATCGCTTGATTAAATTGCAAAGCACCTAATGCCCAATGAAAAGTGGACGTCTGGAGTCCTGGCTGGATGCGGCACAGCTCTTAACATCCACCCTGAGGTGTGGCATGACTTGTAGGAGTTTCCACAGTGACAGCCACACCTTCTCCTGCTGTAGTACTGAACATTCCTGGCTGCTGCTGTCACGGCCTCTCCTCTGCCCAAGTAGCTCTGGCATCCCCTCGTGGCATTGTGGTGTGTGCATGAGAAATCTGGCACCAAAGGGTTAACCGTGCCTATCTTTTGGGTGTGTGCTGTAGAGCAGAGGTTCTCAAACTGTGGTCCATGGACCGCCAGTGGTCCGCGGGCTCCATTCAGGTGGTCTGCGGATAGTTTCCTCTAAGGTGCATGCCTAGGCGGCCGCAGACAAGAGAATGAAGGGCCACCCACCTAATTAGTGGAGCCGCACAGGCGTGGCTCCACTAATTAGGCATCTGGACCCTGGAGAAGACACACATGTAAAGTGAGGTGGTGGCCTTGGGGGGGGGGGGGGTAGGAGGCAGGTGGGATGGAGCAGTGGGGTGAGAAGAGGGGGTGGGGGAATTTGGGACATGCAGGGCTGTGGCGGCCAGAGAAAGAGGCAACTTTGCCCAGCTTCAGGGCTGCAGCTGCCGGGGAGAGATGGCCCTCCTTCCCAGCCTCAGCCGTGGCAGGGGAGAGAGGGCACATCCGTCGCATTAGAAAGGTAAGTCTACTGACATTAAAATATGAGTTGTGGGCTTTTATTTGTAGAACAAAAAAGCTAATTATTATTAAGGTTTTTTTTATATAGCGCTTTTATCCAAAGTGCTTTACAATAGTTAGCTAATGGTACAAACAACATTTGGAAAGATCATTAAGCGGTCCTTCGAGACCCTCAGCAATTTTCAAGTGGTCCATGGAGAAGAAGAAAAAAAATTTGAGAACCACTGTTGTAGAGTATCTGGGAACTTCCTCCGTTTGTAGAATAAACTCGGGGTTCCTGAGTAACGGTATTGGTCTCTGATTGGTAGTTTTGATTCCATCGGGCCAGGAGGTGCGCAAAAGATTGCAAGGTGGGAGGGAGTCTGGATTTCAATCCATGCTGGACCCCAGCCAAGTCAATGCTGACTGGTGCTTCTGCTGTCCCAGCTGGAAAATCAAGTAAGCGCAGGAACCTGCCTGACTACCAGATGCTGCTTTTGCGCTTCATTCCTCACCTTACCCTAACTCCACATAAGCCTTGCTGCTGAACTGAGCCTCACATGTGCGCTGCCTGAACTCCCCTCTCCAGCCCACAGAGCTGCTCAGATCTTCCTGCCGTTACTTTCATCCCCAGCCCACTGCTGGCTTCTCCTGTGTAGAGTTCAAACTCCATGTCCCTGTGCTCCAGGCTGTGAACTGTGATGCTCCACCTGATACAGCCCTTGTCTTCCTATCCCACCATTTGTACTCTTCTCTGCCATCACCTGTCTGCCCAAACTCCTGACTCCTAGCCTCATTCCGTACACCTCCCTGTATGCCACATCGCCTTGCTCCAAACGTTCTAAAATCTGTGTTCTCACTAATAGTGAGTCATGAAATATTAACCCCCCCAGAACCAATAGAATGTGTAACGCAAACGACCTGAATGGCCTAGTTGTATGTTACCTCCCTTCCCCACCTTTGTTTAACTTAGATTGTACACGCTCTGCCTTGGTTACATTTGTCATGCACCATGCGTGCCATGGGGGAACAGAAATGATCTAACTCACTCAGCACTCTTGTGTGCTGCCCCTGGTCTTCCCTGGGGAGAAAAGCATTGCATCCCCATCTGCTTCCTTCCTAGTGAAACCCACATGCTGCCTCTGAGCTAAACGTTGCCAAAATGTGATCTTAGTTTGGACAGCGGAGTGCTAGTCCATGACAGTTGGCTGATTTTTACACGTGGGTTGCTCTGAATGCTGCTTGATGACCCCATGCTGTGCACTTCTCTGTGAAACCTTTGCTCTTGGTCTTTGGTTCAGAATACCTCTGCCATGTGTACGTGCGGAGTGACCGACTGGCTGGAGTGGTGATTGCAGACAACGAGTATCCACCGCGCGTGTGTTTCACCTTGCTGGAGAAGGTAAACTCAGTTTAGGGTTCTCTTTGTTTCTGGAGATGAGCTGTGCAGCTAGGACGATGCACGGCAGGAGGAGACTTCAACTGTGTATTCAGAGTCCTGAATTTGCTTCCCTTTTAGCTGAAAAGCGACTTGCTGCTTGGGCATTTGAGACTCTACAAATCTTTTCTTGTCTGCTGACGTTACTGTCACAAATTAGCTACATGGTGATGGTAGGAGTGAGCGGGGTAGGATCTGTTCAGGCCTAAGACTTCTTCATGGGCTGGGTGATGCAGTGGGTTAATGCATTTTACCTTGGCTGACCTGGGTTCAATCCTGATTAGACCCCAAGAAAGAAGGGTCTGATGCTCTTAGCCTGATACTTAGTGAGTATTTGTTCTCACAGAAACATTCTGCAGTCTGGCCCAGGCTTTCAAGTGGTCAGAACTGGTGCCTGGATGTTACAGTTCTGTCCGACTTGTATCACAACTTGCATGGCCTCTGTCTGTGTTGCATGGTCACTGTTAGTCACGCATCTGGACGCCAGGGTGTCCTGCGTGTCCATGAAGACCATGGGGCTTTTAGGAGAGGGGAAGTCCTTGGTATGTTATCTGAATTCTAGTGACAAGTGTCTCCTCATGGGACACTTAATATACTCCCAGCTTGCATTCCTCTGTAGGTTGCAAGACAGGAGTTGGGTCCCAACCCTCTTCCGTCTGTTGGTAGAGAGCAGGATGCCAAGGAATGACTCTTAACGGTTCTGAGATCTCAAGCCCTGTTGTGGGTGTCTGAGTGGAGAAGACAGCTGTGTGCTCACCACTGGGTTTGCTTTGCATTGCAGGTGCTGGATGAGTTCTCCACGCAGGTCAGTAGGGCAAACTGGCCCTCAGGCTCTCCAACTACGATTAACTATGCAGCCTTGGACGGTTACCTTAATAAATATCAGGTATGACATGCATTTACTGACTGTCTGGATGTCAGAAGGCAGAGAAGCAGTAGGAAAAGGGTGGTCTTAGTGGGTAGGCTGCTGGCCTAGAACTTGGGAGTACCGGGTTCAGCTCCCTGTTCCCCCAGGCTTCCAGCACATCGGTTAGTTGTGCCGGGCTTCAGTTGCCCATTTGTAAAATAGGGCCAGAAGCTCTGCCCTGCCTCTCGGGGTAGAGAGGGTCAGTACGCCAGCAGTAGTGAGGTGTCCAGCCACTGCAGTCATGGGGCTGGCGGAGTGCCTAAGGTGAATGAATAGGTCTGTTCCCTCTCACTGCTCAGACCAGCTCTGCAGTCTGCTCCTGGCCTCTAGGCCTTCCTGGCAGTGTGAGGAAGGCCTTTAGCTGGGAACCCCCAGCAATCCCACTGAGAAACATCAGCTCCATTTGCAGCCTCCACAGGGGCTTGTATCTGGGCAGGGTAAAAGACTGTCTCCCTGTGCACCCGCAGGGCGTGGAGTGCTTTGAGGGGGGCAGTCCAGCTTCCTGCTTGGCTGCGTCTGGGCTCATGGGCCTGCAGACGCTGTCCTTGGAATAGTGTGTCTACGTAATGTGCTGTGTTCTTGCTCTCCAAGAATCCCCGGGAGGCAGATGCAATGACGAAAGTGCAGGCGGAGCTGGACGAGACCAAAATCATTCTGGTAAGGGCTGCATGCGTGGGAAAGGGAAGTGAGGAGGGCTTCCTGGGGCAGCCGCTGCTGTGAACCCTTAGCCTCCGTGGGGGCATTTGGCTGTCTCCTGGGAATTGGTGCTGTCAGTCTGGTACTAGACCCTGCCTGAGGACTGTGCTGCGGACACCCCCTGTCTCCATTCATGAAGTCAGCTGAACCCAACTCCAGACTGGCCTGAACTCCTGGGATGGCTTGACTGTCAGGAGTTGTGTGGGTTCCTAGCCATTACTTGGAAATAAGCAGATGTGTTGGAGTCTGAAGTTAGCTTGATAACCGTCCATAGACTGCATAGGGCAGGCTGGATCACATAGCACCAGACTGTGGGGCTGCATTTGAGTCCCAGGTATCAAGCTGCCAGGGCACCAGGGAAAAGAGCAAAGGCATTGGCTATCCTCCCCTCTAATGGGGGCGAGACTGGGAAGCAGGGGACTTGAAGGACCCAAGAAGTCACAAGCCCATGCGAGGCCTCTTCGTGCTCTTTACCGTGGATTTCCTTGTGGCCTCCCAGGGTGGGCAAGGTGGCATCGCCATTCACACATGCGATGCAGTGTCCTGGGAGCTAACCACGTGGTGATTGGAAAGTGGCTGGTGCGCAGCCTGGCGAGGGCTGCCCTGAGGGCTCTGGGCATGGAGAGCCAATAGCCCAGCTGGGGAGAAACTGAAAGTATTTGGCCCTGGTGCCGTCACAGCCGCTGGGTGAGGCGCGGGGGTCTCAGCTCTGGTGTCACTTCTCGCCCTCTGCAGCACAACACCATGGAGTCTCTGCTGGAGCGCGGGGAGAAGCTGGATGACTTGGTGGCCAAGTCGGAGGTGCTTGGGCTGCATTCCAAACACTTCTACAAAACTGTAAGTGGCTCGGCGCGGCCGCCCAACAAGCATGAGGTAGGGGGTAGCGAGGGCAGAGGGCCAGCCGTGTGCTGCGCCAGGCCAGCACTTGGCATGACTGAGCAATTTACCATGGGCAAAGCTCCAGACATAAATCCTGTTAAGTAGGCACTCAGATATTACCCCGGTGTCTGATGTAGGGCAGGCATTGGGCCCCGGATGCCGGGGCTGGCTGGCTGGCTAAGGCTGAATCTAGCTTAGTGTGGATGCTTAAGTGTGTAGGAGAAGTGTGAACCAAGACTAGAGATGGTCACCTCCTTGGGGCTGTTCTCTGGTCCCAGCTGCCAGGAGCATGCTTCTCTTTGGCAAGAAGGCTGCAGCTTTGCTCTGGGCTGCAGGGATTTCCACTCAGAGTGCAGTGCCCCCTTGTGCCAGGGCTCTGTGAGCTACCTTGGCTTCCAGACGTTTTATTGTTTGCATGCACCAGTGCCTCAGAGACCTCCTCCTGGAGCCAGCCCCCATTGTGCCAGGTGCTGAGCAAAGCTGGTCCCTGCTCCGAAGAGCACAGTGACTTCTAGGTGAAGCTAAGGTGCTCGGTTTGTTTGCAAACTCCCTTAGTGAGTCTTTGGGTGACCCTCGAGGTGGGTGTTGATGGGAGGGGCAGAGGTGGCGGGTTCTCAGAAATACCCTTCCCTCTGCCTTGCTCCAGCAAGCCCGGAGTTGGTGACACGGCACAGGCTACCCTGCTGAGGTTTGGAAGTGTCTGAGCTGCTGACAGGGCAGCGATGTCCCCATGCCCAGCCCGAGGCAGGAGGGCCAGGCATTACAGAAGTGCTGTGGCAAGGGGGTTTCCCAACAGAAGAGGATAATATGTGTGGGAGGGGGTGGAACTTGGAGTGGAGGGCACTGAACTAGCTAAAGCCATGGCCTTGCAGCTGTGCTCAGTTCTGCTAGTGAGCATCAAACACCTTGGATGGGTCACAAGCCCCGCATAGGTCACCCCCTCCCAGATCCAAACCCAGCCTGTCCCACAGCTGCTCCGACTCACCGGCCCTGTAGCACAGGGGCAGTGGGCAGGGTTAGGCGTCCCTGTATCTTGCTGACTTTCCGGCACGCGAACTGCAGGGTGCTCGCAGTGTGAGCTGGCCTGGGAGGAGCCGGCTGTGAGCCCAGTACACGGGCTCTCGGCCTGTCCCCAGAGGGCAACTCCACCGAGAAGCCTCTCAGTTCTTCTTTCCTTTTCAGGCCCGAAAGCAGAACTCGTGCTGCGAGATCATGTGACCCAGCCAGCTGAGACCACTGCTCCCAACCGCCTGGCCTTCTCTCACGTTCAGACCTTTAAAGTACATGGGACAAAAAGACCGTCTGTGGGTGGGGATCCCCGGTTCCAGGCCACACCACTGCGGGCGGTGGGGCTGGGACAGGGCTTTCTCGGCACCCCAGGCCCGTCTAGTTAAACAGCTCTTCCTCGGAAAGGCCAGCGAGGCTGAAGAGACAGCGTGACCATTCTCCTACCAGCCCTTTCTGGCCCCGAAGGGCTTGTTGCTTTGACCTCTGGCTTGTAATTGCAGCGCTGAATTGGCCTGGGGCTCTCACTCCTCATCTCCAGAGATCAGACGCAGACTGCATTCTAGTCACCTTGTTGTTTACAATCATAACACTAGAGAGGGACTCCAGTAACTGAGACCAGCCGACGCCACTGCCCAGTGTTGAGGGCTCAGCCTCCGACTCCTACCCACCCCGTGACTGAAGCCTTGGGCGAGGGGCCTGGTTGCTTTGGGCCTCTGAGGAGCGTTGAGAACAGGCGTCAGTGTTGTGGGATGTAGCCTTGCTGCTCCCAGGAGTGCTCAGACTGGAGTCTCGGCCAGTCAGGCCTGGAATCTGTCTTGCCACCGGCAGTGAGCAGAGAGAGTCCCCGGGGGCGGGGGGGGTGGCACAATTTGGTGCGGAGCAGCAGGAAATGCTGTCGTTTTTGCCTGTCGCCCTGTTCCTCGCCCAGGGGTTGGTGGGTCTCTGCCCTCCATGGGTCTCTGGGCTGTCTCACAGTTACTGTCTGTCCTCCGGCCTCTCGTCAGCCAGCATCCCCATCACTTCGTCCTCGCCTGCGGCTCTGGCCCCCGGGGCTGTGCTGTCTCCCGCTGTGCCAAGTGTGTGCCATGTGCGTGTGCCATGGAACGTGGGTCTCGCTGATCTGCCAGGCCCTGAGCTTCCTGCTGGCTGGTGGAAAAACTAGACCATGATGTTCACGTCCCCTCTCCCTCTGGAGAGGGAGGCTGAGCGGAGCCCACCCCTTCGATCCTTCCATCCTGTCCGTGGAGCTGCATTTTCTTCCCGCCTTGGACCTGCCTCTTGCTTATCCTTGCCTTTGCCCAGCACTGATGTACTGGGAGTGGGCGGGGGGAACCAGCATCCTTGGGTGGGGCTCTGAAAGGGGAGCAATCACCTGGGGAGGGGCACCAGGCAGACAGTAACAGCATGCCAGGCACCCGCTCGCTGCATGGAGGATGTCAGCACCACTCTTGTGGGCAGGTTGAGCACCTGGCTCGTCTGCACATGGGAGAGCGGCAGCGAGCCAACCTCGGGGCGGTTCTGCTGTGCAGTGGGAGGTGACCTGAGCGTGCATGCCCTGGGATGCTGCTCGCAGGCTGTGGGTGCCATCCCTGGGGCAGCGAGAGCTCACTGGCCTCTGCTTTGGTCACCTGGGGGGGCCTCGCTGCACTTTGGGCTGGCTCTGTTGGGGCTGGGGAAGAGCAGGACAGAGGGGCATCAGCAGAGCGTGTGCCTGCTTGCCCACCTGGTGCCATGAGCTGCACATCCAGCCTGGGGCTCAAGGCCACTGGACCACGTGCTAAAGCCATGGCTTGGTAATGCTCTAGGGGTGGGTGCTCCTGGCAGAATCCTCAGCTGCACACTGCGCCTGGCGCTGCTCTCTGGGCAAGCAGGCAGGGAGCCAGCCCCAGGCATGGCAGAGCCACCCTCTCCATGGGGGTGACTTCCTCCCCACTGGAAGTGTGGAGCTGAGCCTGTACCGCCTGGCTCTCCGAGTGCCCTCTTGCCCCTCGCGTTCCCAGGCCCGTGGCATTGGCCTTTTCCCTCATGTACCTGGTGGCTGGGCTCGAAGGGTGTGAGCCCAGCCCTGGGGGAAGGAAGGAAGAAGCCCCAGCTCCCAGCCGTGCCCCTGGACAGTGTGATGTTCAGTGGCCGTGTTGGCTCTGCACTCCATCCCCCCATTCCTACCGTTTCCAATGGAAAAGCTCTGGCTAGCGGCCGTGGAGACTGTGTAACCGTTGCCTGACTTCTCTGTACGTGATGTTGGCTGGCCTGTGCCCGTCTGGATAAAGTTTGTCTTCTCGCCGTTCTCGGCTGGCTTGGGCTCTCATTCGTACTCCGGTTCTCCAGCTGGCTGACCAGGGCCTGTAGCCTGCCAGATCTCCCAGTCCCTGGCTGGCTGTGAAGCCACAGCCCTGGCCACTTGTTGGAGGCGGGAGGGTACTAGGTACAGCTGGAGTGAGTGCCCCTCCACTGCCTCTGGGGCCACCGGGCTTGCTGCTCTCTGAGCCCCTAGGTCCCCCTGTGCCCTACAATGTGGGCAGCATTAGCCCAGGGCCTCTTTACCTCAGCCCCCGCCCGAGGACAGAGGCATCCATCTAACCTCCCAGTTCCCTGCTCGGGGGGCAGTGGAGCCCTGGGGTGACCCTGTAGCAATTTCTTCGGCAGCAGCCCCCACCCCAGGCCGGGTTGAGCCAGTGCCAGACCTGGGAAGGTGGCGGGCAGAGCGGAAATGGGCCTGGGCCCCGGTGAAGAGGGGGTGGGAGGATGCTTCTCACAGTTGGGGCCCCTTGCTGCCCCATTAAGCCTCGGAGCTGGAGCCTGCTGCCTCCCGCTGCTTGGGGCCAGTGCAGCCGCCCCTTGGCCTTCACCATCCTGAGCGGTGAACCAGCCGTGCAGCAGGGCTCTTCGGCGCCAGGGGTCCCCTCACACCTGGGCCCTGGGGGATCGCTGGATGCTGCGCCCATCTTCAGCAAGGCCCATCCTTTGGGGCACCAGCGGCTGCCCTTGTTCTGTGTCAGGATCTCAGGCAGGGGGGTTGAATGTGGGCCAGCTGCTGGTTTTCACTCTTCCCCCTCCAGCCCCATCTCTTGTTCCCTCGGAGCTGCCTTGGGCATGAAACCACCCGCTTGCTCTTAATGCAGACACCTGCCTATTCCTGGGGGCATGCACCGGGCCTGCTCCCTATGCCGCTTCAAGGGCTCCTGGCCCAGGGGCCGCCTGCCACAGGCAGGCCTTGGCCTCCAAACCCAAGCCTTTGCTTCTGCCATTGACAGTTTAATGGGCGGCACTGCAGGGAGGGGCTGGGTTTGCTGGGAGTGGTGTTTGTAGGGGGGTAGTTGCCCGGTGGGGCTTTTTTGCAGCGGAGTCAATGGTGCCCAAATCACAACATGCTAAAGGGGGGACAGGAGGGATGGGCCATGACCCCCATGTTGGTCCTCTGGGCTATGCCCTTGAGCCGGTTCGTAATCGATCCCTCGGTGCTGACTGCTCACGGGCAGATACCAGAGCCTCCGAAAAGGCCACTCGGGCCTCTACTAGTGCGCTATGTGGCAGAGATCAGACGCTGCGGTGAGGGACTGCAGCACCAAAGCCGCGGGCAGGCAGCCAAGGCCCCAGAATGGTAACTAATCAGCATTGACTGGGGGGGAGGCCAATCTGCCCCAGCCAATGTCAGCGTGGGGTGTTTCCAGGGGCATAGAGCACAGGGACTGGGCTCCCCTTTCCCAGCCGTGGCACAGTCCAGGGGGGTGAGGGCACGGGGGTCTCGCCCACAGAAGAAGCCGCAATCATTTCACTTCCTTTTTTTTAAATTTATTTGCAGTTTCCCAAGACAAACCCTCCTCCCCCCAAAATGGGACTCACCATTTACACTTACAAGGCTCAGAAAGAAAAGACAGTGAGAAGCCCAGACAAAAGAACCAAAGAGAAAGCAAGAGGGAAATTCAGCAACAATCCACCGGCATTCAGGGGACGGACAAACAGCTCCTCGGCCTACAGCTGAGTAGTAAGAGGCTTGCTCTGAAAAGGGCATGCAGAAGAGCGATACCCCCCCGGTCCCCAGCAGCGCACAGGGGTACCAAGGGCGCGAATGAAACACCTGCTTCCCCATGCGGCTGTGGAGGGCGCCCCCCCACTCTGGGTTTGGTGCACAAGCAGCTGGAGGAAGCCCCCAGCCTCAGAATTCCCCCCTCTCCTTTCCTGAGCAGCCTATGCCCCCTTCCCGCCCCCAAAGGATATGCGGGAAAAGAGGGGGTGGGCGAGAGCAAAGTGAGGCCCAGTCCCTGGCTTCTTGCTGGGATCCAATGCATTTGGGAGAGGGGCGCGGTGTAGGACTGGACGTCCCCCCTCCCTGTGCTCTGTTCTCCTGCACTAGCCCTAGCCTTGGGTGGGGAACCACCCTCCGGGACACCCCTCCTGAGCCTTGGCTAGACCAGAGGTCAGCTTGTCCTGACAGTGCCCCACTGCTCCAGGCGGGTTGGCGATGCTGGGCAAAGCCCAAACTATGGGGTAGGGCCGGCAGCCACCCACTCCCTCTAAGAGCCCTGCTCTCTTTCAATGCGGTGTCCGTGCTGGCTGGACGCACACCGCTGCGTTGGTCCAATGCCCCTGCTGTTTCACTGTATCCCTGGAGAGCTCTTCCTCTCCCATGGATCCAGCTTGGTGCCAGGGGGCCAGCCTCCCCCAACCCCCCACAAGAGCCCGGCTCATTCACTGCACATACCAGGAAAACGCCCAGCTCTCTGCTCCCAGCACACCCCAAACCCCTCGGCACTCACAGGAACTGCTCCCTGCACTTTGCAGGGGGGCCCTGGCACCAGCTGGGAGAGCAAAGGGGGACAGGGAGCCCATGCTGTGGGGCAGAATGCTGAGGCCTGCCCTCCCCCTGAGCCATGCTGCCTGCCTTGGTGACCCCCGCCCGGCACAGGGCCCTGGACTATAACCCCACCAGCAAGGTGCAGGAACCAAGTCAAGACGGCCACAGGCTAGGTCCCAGCAACCTTCTATGCAGGACACACCTGATGCCCGTTTGTCCCTAGCCAGGCCAGGACTGTGCAAATGTCCCTGATCCAAACCTAACAGGGCTTGCGAGGGCTGGACCAGCGGCCGAGGTGCTGATGCCATCCCAGGTGCGCACGGCTGGCTCCTCTCCGAGTTGGGGCAGGGTGGCCCTCCAGAGCCGTGACCTCGCTCCCCTACTCGCTCTTGCCCCCTGCTTCAGCACTGCACCCCGCAGCTCGCCGCCAGCCACCCACCCGCCCTGCAACTCCACCCACTGTCCTGCCATGACTGAGGAGCCCAGCCCATGCCCACAGTGGGTATAATGCCCAGGCTCTTAGCGCTGGCTTGGGGGGGAGGGCGGGAGATCAGCTCCTGCTCTGCATTTCACGCACACACCCCCCAGCACGATCCTGCAGGGCTCACGGCGCTGCGGGCTGTCCAGCCACCCCAGGTGGAGTCCCACCCACGCGAGCCCCTTCGGCGGCACCTCGGAGGGAGGACATGAGTATCGTGGGGCAATGGGGCACAGGAATGCGGGGGGGGAGGAGAGGAACTTGGAGCCGTGTGAAAAACACCAGGGATCCAGTGACTGCAATTCCTCATGCACCTCTCACCTGCGCCTCTCACCCCCTTCCCTGCCACCCGCTTCCCACCTGCGCCTCTCACCCCCTGCCCTGCCACCAGCCACCCCCTTCCCTGCCACCCGCTTCCCACCTGCGCCCTGCCACCCCCTGCCCTGCCACCCCCTTCCCACCTGCGCCCTGTCACTGCTTGCGCCCTGCCTCCCCCTGCCCTGCCACCATCCACCCAGCTACCCCCTGCCCTGCCAACACCCTTCCCACCTGCGCCCTGCCACTCCCTGCGCCCTGCCACCCCTTTCCCACCTGCGCCCTGCCGCCCCCTGCCCTGCCACCATCCACCCAGCCACCCCCTGCCCTGCCACCCCCTGCCACCAGCTCAGCTGCCGGCAGCTGCTGTTGTCATGGCCGCCCTGGCCCGGGTGCTGTCCCGGCAGCGTTTAGCACTGGGCCTCTCCTGGCTGTCAGCTCCCCCCCACCGCCCCCCGGGCTCAAGGTGGCACCTGGACGGGGGGGGGGAGGGGAGCAGGCCGCCTGCTGAGAGCCCCACACCTGGGTCTGACCCTAGGGGACGGGCACAGGCTGGCAGCGGGTGCCCGGTGCTACAGCCCAGCAGTGACGGGCTGCTGAGCGGAGGGCGACACGAGGGTCCCAGGAACCGGGTCTCAAGTCGAGGATTTTTTTATTATTTTTTTTTTTTTGCAAAACTTGGGCCAGGCCCAAGTTCCGTTTGTCATGCACCATGGTACCGTAATGCTCCTAATAATGGGCAGCACGGCGTTCTGGGCCATGCTGGAGAGGCCCTCCTAGGACTACCATACTACACCTAATAATGGACCACATATGACACCATGGGCCCTGCCAGGGGCTCCTAGGCATTGCCGTAATGCACCTAATAACAGTGTCTGGAACCATGATACGATAATACACCTAATAATGGACAGTATCTGGTACTATGATACCATAATACACCTAATAATGGCCCATACGTAACACCATGGGGTCCTTGGCCATGCCAGAGGGGGCCCCCCTTCCCATCCTACCACTCCAGTAATACACCTAATAATGGACCATGCATAATACTATAGGGTCCTGGGCCATGCCAGGGGCTCCTAGTCACTACCATAATACACTTTATAATGTACAGTACCTGGCACCATGCAGTCCTGGGCCATGCCAGAGGTCCCTAGGGACTACCGTAAAACACCTAATAATGCACAGCACATAACACCATGGGGTTTTGGGTCATGCCATGGGCTCTTAGGCACTACCGTAATACACTTAATAATGGACCGCGTATAACACAGTGGGGTCCTGGGCCATACCAGAGGGGTCCCTCTCCCCTTCCTACAACTACCATAATACACCTAATAATGGAGCATGCATAACAACATGGGGTCCTGGGCCACACCAGGGGCTCCTAGGCATAACCGTAATACACCTAATAATGAACAGCACCTGGCACCATGCAGTCCTGGGCCATGCCAGGGGTCCCCAGGCAGGACCATAAAACCCCTAACGTACCGCGCACAACACCATGGGGGGGCTGGTTCATGTCCCCGACTCTGTGCCCGTTCCATGGAGGAGCTGAGGCAGCTCCCACCTTTAGTGCCGGCACGCAGACCCCTGCTGTGTCAGCCACGCTGGCGGCAGGCTCACCCACCCACCATCCTCCACAGCCTGAAAACCCAACCTTGTGGGGACAACTTTCCAGGCTGCTGCACCACCGTGGCGTCAGCCAGCCCTGCAGCCGGGGCCAGCGGTGAGGTTAGCCCTGTGGACCCCTCTGACTGGTCCCAAGGGTAGGTCCTTCCACAGCCCTGGGCTCGGTCAGTGACGAGGGGGCCTGTCCAGTGAGTGCAGCCGGGACCGCAGGAGAATCTCTGCTCCTCCCTGTGGAGCCAGAGCTGGGACTGGAGGGGCAGCTGCACCCAGGGCCGTTGCTCATGGACGGAGCCAGGCAGGCCCACGACCCAAACCCCAGGGTCCTCATGAGGGGCTCGTGCTCCATTCGAGGGCTGCCCCAGGCAGGTGCAGGCTCAGATGCTGGCAGGGCTCTCCTCCATCGGCCTCCCACCAGGCAGCTGGCCCTTCCTGCGACCCGGCTGGGGAGAGGAGAAGGTGGTGAGCCTCCACGGCCTCCAGCATTTGCGCCCGGATGTCCAGCTGACAGCTCCGCTCTAGCCCACGGAGTCACGGGCTCCATGCAGGTTCTCTGCTCTGTGCCGTGCAGGCCGGCCGACTGGCGGAGAAGACTGGCCTCGTCTGCCCGTCCCAGGAGAAGGGAAGGTGCCGCGTGCCGAGCCCCTCACCGGTAATAGGCCCCGGCCGGGGCAGGTGTACAACACCTTGGAGAGTCTCCGAGCAGCTGGTGCCGCCTGTCACGACCGCTCAGCACCAGCGACCAAGAGCCTGGGGAGTTTCGACTCGCCCTTGTCCTTCGCCGCTAGGACCCCGGAGCCCGGCTGACGAGCATTGGCAGTGTGGGGAAGGGACGCACGGAGTGGCCCGGGGGGGTTGCTGTGAAACTCAGCGATTCCTCTAGGGCCGAGTCTGGGGGAAGGGAATTCTCTTCGTGGCGGTGGGCGGGTCAGCCAGGTGCGGCCCCAGGTCGCTCACCCCGCCAGCCGCTGGGATGGCATCGCGCGGGGCGACTGTCCTGGAAAGGCGAGTGGGTCAAACGGTGGCCCGGTACGTGCTGCTCGTCCAAGGCACAGGGCCCATGGTGGGGCAGTTTCCCCACTGGTGGGAAGGGTCAAACCGGCCCCTTCAGGATCGACCTGGGGTCGGGTTGCCCAGAAGGTGGGTTCTCGCCCGGCGGCCCTGTGCCTCGCGGGTTCAACCAGCGGCAGATGCTTCATGGAGCGGACAGACGTGCCTCTTGGTGCTCGGAGATGCTCTCCTTAAACCCCGGCTGCTGGGCAGTCTTTGTCTGTGGGGAGCCACAGCCCGAGGCAAGGAGACGCCAGGTCATGGTAACCACACCGAGACGAACAACTCTGCTCACACCGCGTCGCGACAAACAGCACGGAGATCGCCGCAGGCCCAGAGCATGCGGCCCCGGCACGGGAATGACCCCCCCACCATACCCTCGGCTCGGCGCACGAGAGCCACTGTGCCGGCCCCTCGCGACGGGCCCGGCTCGCACGCAATCGCCCAGCGTGGGCACAGGGCGCGCCCACGGCTGGCACACGCAGGGCCCAGCCCGCGAAGAGGAAAGGGTGGTTGTGGCCGTGGGCTGGGGGGAGAGAAGTTGGGGGGGGGGGGTTAGTTTCTCTAGTTGTAGCTCAGCCCCCAGAGCCCCCTCCCAATAACAAAGGGAGGCCGAGCCTCCCGGCCAGCCCCACACCCGCCCCCCATTAACACAGCGCCCGTCCCATCCCCCATGCTCTGCCCCCCGATATAAACGATAACGCCCGGATTGGCTTGCCACAATACGCAGACCACCCCCGGCACCCCAGCCCCGTGGGTCATGCGCTATCCTGTACTCAACCCCCATGAGGCCCACGCCCCATCCCCACAGAGCACACTGCACCCCCTGTGCCCTATCCCCACAGGGCACGTGCCCCCACGTCCATCCTGTGCCTGATTCTCCCACCTGCTTCTTGCCTGGGCACTTTCATGCCAAGTGGGCTTTGCCCCTTCCCCAGGCAGTTCTCCTCCACACTCTGCACGTCATGGCCAGTCACCTGGACCCACGGTGCCCCTCACTTCCACCGGGCAGTGCTGGCCCCATGGGGCTGGAGCGACGTGTCCCCGTTTGCTCCTCTAGGACTTCCTGCCGCCCTGTGAGCAAACTATCCAATTCCCCTGGTCCTGACTGCCCATCACATCCCCCACCTGCCCCATGCCCCCCACTCCCCCCTGCCCCACCCCAACTGCCCCCATCCTTCCCCTACTGCTCCGCCCACCTCTGCCCCTCCACCAGTCGCACCCCTACTGCCCCGGCCCCTGCCTCACCCTGACCTACACCTGCCCCACCTGCTCACCGCATTGGACCACCCCCTTCCTCCTGCCCCACCCTTACTGCCCCCACCTACCCCCAGCGCCACCCCCAAAACCCCGCCACCTCCAGAAGCCCCGCCCACCTGCCTGTGACCCGTCTCTGTGCCCAAACACTCTGCCCCCTGCTCATGCCATGGGAGACGGGGATCCCTGAGCCATCGCATGTGCGCCAAGCTGCCCAGGGAGTCAGGAGCCACAGGCTCCGTCCCTGCCTCCCACACCAAACCTGGGCTTGCCTCGCGGGCGCCACGCGGCTCCAAGGACCCCACTGAGCGAGCCCTGCCAGGGCACACGGCCAGCCCCATCCCACAGAGCCAGCGGCCCAGCTGGGAGCAAGGCTGCAGGGCTCCAGGAACGAGCCCCCTGCCCAAGACCTCAGTGGTGCCAGGGTCTTTCCCAACCCATTCCCCAAAGGCCACTTCAACTGGGACCTCTGGAGCGCGCCCCACGCGGGTACGTCGCCTGGCACTCACACGGCCCACGGGCACAGCCGGCCATGGCAGCAAACGGGACAAGGCCGGGCTCACCAACACGCTGAGGGGCTGTAAGCCCAGCTGGCTCCACAGAGCAGAGGTCGGGCGCTGACGAGGGGGGGAGCCCACTGTTGGCCCCTTGTGCCCGTTCAACACCCCAGCCCCAGCCTGTCCCCTTTGCCCCTACCTGTGACTCAGCCCAGACTGTCCAGCCAACCCCTCTCTGGGAGAGGGGCCAATCGAACATCCCGGGGGCAGCAGTGGCAAGGGGCTGAGCTGGGATGGGGGGCACCGGCTCATTGAACATGGACAGGGCGAGGAGGAGGAGGGGACCCAGATGCAGCAGGCACGTGGAAGGGCAGCTCAGCCCCTCGCTTTTGAGGGAGTCCAGCCCCAGAGCCCAGGCCTTCGAGCTGGAGACAGGACCAGAGAAACCCCCGTTTGGTTTCCTCTCCCCTGCGGGGAATCTGACGGAGCGCTGGCCAGAGGTGGGCTTAGCTGGAGACCACGGCTCCCCTGGGACTGGGCTGCTGGGACGCTGGAGATCCCCTGCGGCCGCTGGGGGAGCAGGATTGGCCCTGCTGCACTCTGCGCTCCACCTAGGGCCTCCCCGCCCTGCCCGTCCCTCTGGAAATTCAGCGTCCAGCAATAGCCGAGAGAGAGGCCTTGGCGTGTCACCCCCGTGCCAGGCCTCCAAGCTCCGCCACTCCCCACCACCTCGGGACCGTCCCTGAGCAAATCCCGGCACAGCCATGCCACCTGCAGGCGAGGGGGTCGGGGGAGTGGGTTCATCTCACAAGATCTGGGCCTTGGCAAGAATTTGGCATATCTCCACTTCGCGACACCCCCTTCTCCCCCCCCGGTCGGCGGTGTATAGGGAAAGCCAGCCGTCGGCTAGCGGGGGGCCGGGGTGGGCATCCAGGCCCAGCAAAGCCACGGCTCCAGCGACCAAACCCACCAAAGAAGAAACGAACGAGGCGTCCGAAGAATAGTAATATCATCGTCATCGTCATCAGAACAATCCACAAGCACAGCTAGAAGGGGAAGATCCGGGGATGCCCGAGCGCTCGGGAGCAGAGTCCGCTGTCGAGGAACGGTTCGAAAAACAGGTCACAGATGTCCAAGCGCAAACACGACCACGGGACACGACCACGGGGAAGGTCCATGCTTCGACAGAGAATGCAAGTCGTCTCGGCGGAGCGCCGCTCAGCGCGGGGGCGGGCAGCGCGGGGGGCGGGCGGCGCGGGGCTTTGGAAGGAAGGTTTGTATCAGAGTTTTGGAACATTTTCATCGCAACACCCGTTCACCTGGCTGGACGGACACTGGGGGCGCTGGGGAGAGGGGGCGGCTGGGTCTGGAGAGGTCACGGCCGGGCTTGGGCTGGGGGGGGGTTGATTGGTTGGTTTTTTTTTTTGTTGCTGTTGATTTTTTTGTTGGTTTTGTTGGGTTTTTTTCTGCAAACACAGGCACTGGAAAGGGGCGGGGGGAGGGGGGGACACGTGCATGCGGGCGCGTGCTCGGCACCGCTGCTCCCGGCTAGCGGCTCAGCTCAAATCACCGTCTCCTTCGGGACGAAACCAAAACAGCCAGCGGTAGCTCTGCAAGACACAAACACACACATGCCGTGGGCCGTGCCCGCCCCGCAGAGCCCGTGCTGGGACGGCCCCCGGGGCAGACGCAGCGGGAGGCCCCAGGGGCTCTGCCCCGGCCGCAGGCTGCGTCTACACCAGGGTTTGGCTGCCGTAGCAGGAGGGGAGTCTTGTCACTCTCCAAGCCAGCAGAGCTTCCTACTGTAGACCGGGCCTAGCTGCTCCTGCTGGGGGCTTCCACCAGAACCAGACCTGCTGACCCACCCCGTCGAGGGTCCCTCCTCGTGGGCACAGCCCCCTCTGCCAGCCCAAAGCAGGGCTGGGTCAGCAGGGGCTGGTTCTGGTCACACCATCCCTGGAGCGGCACCGGTGGGGGTGAGGGTGGTCCGCCCGGCGGGGGTGGGGAGGGGGAGGGGGTCGCTCGGGCCCTAGCCTCACCTTCACTGCAACGGTGCCACGGGTGCCCCCGAGCAGTGGAAGTGGACGTTCTGCCACTTGCCGTCACGGCGGTGCCAGACGCGGGTCTCCTCGGACTGGCTGGTGCGGGGGCGGCCCTGCCCGTCGATGTACTGCGTCAGGCGGATGTAGGCGATGCAGGCGGCGTCCTCCCCGATCACGTGCACGTGGGGGTTCAGGATGGTCGTGTGGATGGGCTTGTTGTTTTTGGATAACACTGGGGAGGCAGAGAGCCTCTGTGAGCCGGGGGGCGGCCTGCACCCCCGGGCCAGGGGGACGGGCCCAAGGGACCAGCGGTGAGCCCAGGGAATGCGATTACAGCCTGGGCGGGTCGTGGGGAGTCCTGGGGTGGGGGCAGGTCACGGGGGGGCCCTGGGGTGGGGGCAGCTCTTGGAGGATCATGGGGAGGGGGCAGGTCTTGGGGGCAGGGCTGTGGTGAGGCCCACTGAGTCAGAGTCAGGAGGCGTCTTGCTCTGAGCATCAAATCAAGGGCCAGGGCCCAGCCAGAAGGATCCTGGGTGCTGAGCTGGGTTGGGCTGACAGGACCCCTGGGCGCCAAGCCAGGCCAGCCAGCAGGACCTCTGAGCGCCAAGAGGGGCCAGGGGGCAGGTCCCCCCAAGTCCTGTGCCGTGCTGGCCGATACGACCACTGGGCACCGTGCTGGGCCGGCTGCCAGCAACCCCGGGCACTGAGCCAAGCCCAGCCAGCAGGCCCCCGAACCCTGCGCTGGGCTGGCCAAGGTGAGCCTGGAGGCCGAGCTGGGCCGGCCGTCAGCACCCCTGGGTGCAGGCTCCGGGGGGCCCAGCCCTGCCCTGGCAGCGGGCACGCTCACTCACAGTTTTCGAAGTAGAATCGGTGGAAGTCCATCCCCTCAACCAGGTTGCCCAGGGCTTCGGGTTCGAATGACGTCAGGCCTGGGTCGCAGATCTTCCTAGAAGGGAAGAGCTGGGCGGTGAGCCACCGGGCAGGGCGCCTAGCCGCGCCCCAGCCCCACCCAGAGAGAACCCGCTGCCCCTCCGCCGGGACCCCCCATCTCCCCACCTGGCGGGCAGGGCCCCTGCCTCCTCCCCCGCCTGGGCTTGGCTCTCAGCATGGCCCGGGGGGTGGGGTGGGGCCCTTGCCCAGGCCGCCCGCTGAGCCCCCCACCCAGCCCCGCTCGGCCCCCGGGGACTCACGCGTAGGCCTCGAAGTCCCCGTTGTTCACGGCCTCGATCAGCTGCTCGGTGATCTTGATGATTTCCTGCTTGCGGGCTGCAGGGCGGAGAACGGGGGGTGTCAGCAGGGGGCGGGCACCGTGGGGAGCTCGTGGCCCCCTGGGCCAGACCTGGCCGTTACCCACGGGTGGGCTGGCTCATCGCGACCCACCGTCTGCTGGTCCGCGGCAGAGCCCGGCACACGGGCCCGCCCCCTTCCGCCCTGGCCGAGGCGCTGTGTGTGTGGGTGTGTGTCTGGGGGGTGCATACGGGGGACGCCCGCTCTGGCCCTGCCTGGTGGGCGCCCCCAGGGCTTCTGCCTCCAGGGCTCACAACCGGGCACCGCCCACCAGAGCAGCATGCCCTGAAAAACCAGTCAGCTCGCGTCCCTTCCTCACACCCTCCCGGCCCAGCCCCATAACCCTCCCGCGCCCCATGCCCACCAGCTCCCCTGTGCCCCATATCCAGCCCGGGTCCAGAAACCTCCCACGCCCCATTCCCAGCCCAAAGCCACAAGCCTGCTGCACCCTATGCCCACCACAGCCCTCCCATGCCCACCCCTCTGGTGCCCCTTGCCCAGCCAAGCCCTATAGCCCTCCTGCAGCCCATGCCACAAACCACCCCCCCGTGCTCCATGCCTGACCCCCATCGCTGTGAAGCAGGCCTGGGGGGAGGAAGGGGGCCTGGGAGAAGCCCAGGTGACCCATTTAGCTCAGCGCCCATGCATTATGCAGCAGAGCCGCGGCTCAGCTCCCCGCCAAGGCTGGCTCCTCGGAGCGGCGCTCGGAAACTTCTGGCCTGCCCCGCGGCATCCATTTCCTGCCCCCGGGCCCTGCTGGGATCCCCCCTCCTTCCCCACGGGCCTGGCAGCCAGCCAGCCCTGCCCCTTGTGCCCTCCTGTGCTGGGGCAGAGCGGAGCTGAGCCTCTCCAGGGGGCAGGGGTTGGGGTCAGGGCATCCTGCCCTGCTCCCAGTCACAGCGGGGCGAGGGAGGGGAGATGCAGGCCCTGAGACACTTCAATCCAGTGCAGTGGGGGGTTCTAGTCTAACCCCTCTCTAGCCGGCACCCCCGGCCTCAAAGCTCCTAGGGGCCTGGAGCCTGCCCCAGAGGGGCTCTTCTTGCCAGGCACCCCGGTTCCCCTTTCTCTCGCTGTCTGGCCATGGTCCCTGCTCGCCCACAGAACAGCCCCTGCAAGGAGTGATGTGTGGGGACACCCCCTCCCTGCCCAGCATAGCTGGGGGAATACACGGGAGGCACACCAGGCATCAATACCAGCAGGTGCCAAGGCAGAGCATGTCCCACCTGCCGCGGGCAAGGGTGAAGGGCCAGCTGGCCCACACGGAGGAGTTACACAGTCATGGCCCGTCTCATCCGGGCTCCTGGCTGCATCAGTGGCCAGCCCCAGATGGTTCAGCAGAAGCCAACAGTGGCAGATGGGGGCTAATCCGTCTCCCTCCATCCCTGCCTGAGGCTGGTTTTAGCCCTGAAGCACGAGCTTTGCTATCCCTTCTCAAATTCGCTGCCATTAACTGTGCTGACTCTGGAGGTTCTTGTTAGCCACATAACCGTCTCATCCTTTTTGACTCTTGTTCTTGGCCTCAACTGCTTCCAGTGGCAGGGAGTTCCACCGGCTAACGGTGTGACAAAGCAGCTCCCTTTATCGGTTTTGAATTTCAGTGTCCCTGAATGTCGCCTTGTTCTTATGTTTGGAGATGGGAGAACAGATGCTTCCCCTGCTCTAGCTCGGCCATTGTTTTATATGCTTTTAGCCGGTCCCCTTTTATTTGTCGCCTCACGAAGGGAAATGAGCCCAGTCCTTTAAATCGCTCGTCACAGGAGTGTTATTCCAGGCCCTTGTTCGTTCCCATTGTGCACTGAGCTGGGGGGCCTGGTCCTGCCCACCAGAGCCAGATGGGGCTCCCCCACTGATTTCTAGAATGGCTTGATAGTATTTTTCGGAAGTGTCTAAGAAAGCCCCTCTAAGCCACACGGCCCGGTGGAGCCAGGTGCGTGTGAATAGCATTTTGGGGCTGCAGGTCTCTGGGTGGGTCTGCGTGGGGAACTGACGGCTCAGTTATTAGTTACAAGTCATGTTATTGTAGCCACGGTCCAGGTACCCAGCTCAGGCTGACAATACTGCTGTGGTTAGACCAGGACAGCTCCCCGCACAGACACACTGACCCCAGGGCTGGACAGCTGCAACTAGAGCCAAACCCTCAGGCCAGCCGATCTCTATGGACAGGCAGGCCCAGGGGGCGTGGGACGCTGCGGCCCCTCTGGGCGCCGTGTGCCAGGCTTCTCCTGGCTCCCTTGACCATTGGAGAGGGATAGGGTGAGCGAGGCCTGGCCCAGACCCACAGGAACATCCAGCAGGGACTTCCCAGGGGCAAGCCCATCCCCGCTCCTCTGCCCAACACACTCCCCCCCCCACCCCAAGAGCCTGCACCCATCCTTCTTGCCTGGGGCCCTCCATGCGACTGCCCCACTGCTGAAATCCCCAGGCCCTCCTCACTCCCTGCCTATGGGGCTTCCCCCACAGGCCCCCTGCCCTCCGCTGCTCACTTCCTCACCCGGACCCAGGTGCTACCCTACGTGCTCTCCAGGCTGGTCCCCAGACCCGCTGGCTCGCCATCCCTGCCCCTGCTCTGGCTCCAGCCTCCCGGTCCCCTCCACAGCGTGGGCGCAAGAGCCTTCTCCCCTGCAGCCTCCCTGCCTCGCTGCCCTCATTTCCAATGGCATTGGTAACCTTTGCTCCTCCCGCACCCAGCCCACACACTACAGCCCCCTCCCGCTCAGCACCACGCGGCGCATGCCGTGTCCGGGCCCAGCTGGATGCCAGGGTCCCAGCCCAGGGCCTTGACACTTTCGAGGAAGAGGAGATGCGAGGGGCCCTTGGGGTTGAGCCCTTGTGCTGTAACCCCAGCTCCTCTCTCAGATTCACACCACGCAGACGGGAGCAGAACTAGGCCCCCTGAACAGCGCCAGGCTGTGGCCGTATCAGGACATCAGCCCTGCCCTGCGGGAGGGACCTTGCGCCCTGGGCCCCGGGTTGAACAGCCCATACCCTCTTGGGAACAGCCAGCCAGCACCAGTCCTCGCTGCCCAGAAACCACCCAGCATGCCCTCCTGGGGCGAGTGCCACAACCCCTACTGAGCCTTGCTCCCCTGCCCCGGGTCTGCCCCCCACCCCTGAGTTAATTCAAATCCCTGCCCCTCCACATCAGCTCCGGCTAATCGTCCTTAGCACCCAGCAGAGCCTTCAGGGGAAGGGAACGCTCTGTCCCCACCCCAGCCCGCTCCAGAGACTCCTCAAATCCTTCCCCGGCCCCAGCCAAACCAGCCCTTACCTGGGAGCCTGCCGGCCATGCCTGCTCCTCTCTGCTCAGCTCCCCACCCCTGGCTCAGTGCTAGCTGCCGGGCACGGCAGCTCCCATTCCCTGTGTCTGCCCCTGTCATCCAGCCCTGTAAACGATCCACGCCGGGACTCCCGGTGCCCAGGACACCCGCCTCTCCGGCGGCTGGGCAGGAGCCCGGAGCCCAGCGCTCCAGGGAAACAAGTGTGAACCTGAACTGAGCAAAACTCTCCTCCCGCCAGCATGTCCCAACACAGCTCTGCCGACGCCCCTCAGTCCTGACCCGCAGCCCCCTGCTAGCCCAGCCCTGGCCTCCCCAAACAGCTCTGCCGACGCCCCTCAGTCCTGACCCAGCAGCCCTCTCTGATACCCCCGCTCCGCCCCCCGACTCTGCCAGTGGCCCTCCATGCTGCCGTGCCAGCCCACTGGTTCCCACCTGGGCATTGCGGACGGGTTTGGGCTCCGTGCCAGGAGAGGACACACTGAGACCCAGCCCCGGGGCAGCTGCCAGGGCAGATTTCAGGGCGGATCCAAGCTGGGTGACTGAGGTCGAGCCGCAGCCCCCCTCCCCAAGCCCCACTATTTACGCTGGGGAGGCAGAGGGTTCGTGACAGCTGGAGATGGGCAGGGCTGGCTGGCGGCAGTGTCCGGGGGCCCGGAGCCCCTCCTCACCGTGTTCAAAAGGTCAGAGAACCTGGCGGCTGGGCCGGGAAGGCCGAGAGATGGGTGAGAAGATGCATGGAATGGAAAAGTGACACGGGGAGGAGCCCAGGGAAAGACGGGATTCACCTGGCCTGGGACGCATGCCCTCCCCGCCAGACCCAGTCACGGCAGCACCGAGGCCGGGCGGAGCCCCCTCGGGCACGGGTCTCTCCCCAGCACCTTCCGGCTGAGCAGAGGAGCCGAAAAGGGGAGAGCGCTGGTTGTTTTTACATTCAAAAATCCAGCTCTCCGGAGCCCAGACCACGCAGGGCTGTGATCGAGGTGCCAGGGAGGGGTTCGGGAAGGGGAGGGCTGGTGAAAGCCCCCCGCTTTTGTTTATGGCCCTGGTAATCCACTGGGGACTGCATGTTCCTGGCTCCCCTCGGTGCCCGACCTGCAGGGATGAGTTTGTTCCAGCCCCAGCCGGAGAGTTTTAGCTCAAGCTAGTGTTTTAGCTGGACACAAATGGCCCCTCTTTGGTGGGAGATGTGGCCCCGAGACGCCCCCCCCCCCCGCGCCCCAAAGACAGCACCACCGAGTCAGGGACGAGCCTGCTTCTAAAGGCAAAAACCAGCAGGAGAAGCCTTGATACCTGCCCTGCCGGCCCTTGGCACCATGCTGGAAAGGAGCGAGGGGCCCCAGCCCTGACCCCCCCATCCCCGTGGTGGGGTGGCTTATGGGGAGCGGAGCGGCCCGCACCGGCTTTGCTCCGTGTGCAGGGCTCATGGCGCAGCATTGCCAGGCGGGCACTGTGGTTGCTGCGGCACTCAGCTCTGCAGCGGGCGTGGGGTGGGCACACCCTGTTGCTGTTTAGCCCAGCGAAGGGAGGCCAGCTCCTGGCCCGGGCACCATTCGGCAGCGGTGAAATGGGGGTGGCGGATGCCCACGTTGGGACCTAGCCGGCCCCGCCTTGGTGAGGGGCTGCGGTGGGCAGAACCGCACCAGAAGGGGCCCGGTTCCTTTCAAGCCAAAGGAGACAGAGCATGTCTAGAGGCCTTTGCTTTGGCCCGGAAGAGGGACAGTGATTGGGTCCCGCTGGAAAACCCTGGGGCCCGTTGCTTGCCCAATCCCAGCAGGCACGCCTGACTAGAACCGGGGCTGTCAGCTGCCATCGGACCAAGGGGAATTGCCCAGGCTCAGAGCGGTGGCAATGCTCGGGGCAACGTCCCCGGCTGGCTGCCCTGGGATGGCAGGCTCAAGGCTAAAGACAGGGGAGTCCCCACAAGTCGTGTCCAGCTCGGCCTCCACACACAGAGCACAGAACAAATGCCCGGCGCTCAGACCAGGAGCCCCGAAAGAAGCTAGCAAAGGGGCAGATGAGCCGTAGTCCCCACCGCATGCCGCTGGGAGGCACCCGACGGGCGACTTCACCCGGTCATGGCGACCACAGAAACAAGCACAGCGCTTCCAGTGCCGAGCCGCAGGCCCCCCAGCCCTGCTACTTACGCTGGGGAACAAGCGGGTTCGCCACGGCTGGAGACGGGCAGGGCTGGCTTACGGTAGGCTGCGGCCCCTCAGTGTCCGGGGGCCCAGAGCCCTTCCTCACCGTGCTTAAAATATCAGAGAACTTGGTGGCTGGGATGGGACAGACGAGAGAAGGATGAGGAGACAGGTGGAATGGAAGCGTGACGGAGAGGAGGAGTGCGGGGAAGAGCCCGGAGCTGCGGGGAGGCCAGGGGGCTTTTTGAGTTGGCTGGCCCAGCCGCACTGGTTCCGATAGCCAGCATGCCCTGCACTCTGCCTATGACCCTGGGGAATGGGACTGGTCTGTGGTTTAGTGTCAGGGCTCCCTAGGGGGCTGAGAGCCAAGAACGCCTGGCTTCGAACCCCAGCCCTGCAATGGACTCGCTGCGTGACTTGGGCCGGGCGCACAGTGGTACCTTGCCATTCTGGGGATGGTAATGATTAACCCCCTCTTTTGCTCCGTGTCTGTACAGCGCCTGGCGCAGTGGCGTCCTGGGGCACGTGGACGTGCCAGTAATACAAATAATACAGTGACCTCTCGTGCACGAGTCTGGAGGCTGGTACTGGGACGATCAATAGAAGGGAGCGATCCTGGCAAATCCAGCTTATAACGCTGCTGTTTGGAGGGGCGCAAGGCAGCAGGAGGCTAAGCCAGCAAACAAGTTCCTGATGAAGTGGGGAGAGAAATGCTCAGCTCTGCTCCCCTGGGGTTTAGGGAAGAGTTCAGGCAGCATCCCAGGGGAAATGCCGGCTGACTTCAGACAAGTACTGTAGGAATGGGCCGAGGGCAGAGATGAAAGGGAAGAGGTCGTGCTGGGGAGGGGGGCAGCATGGCAGGGGCTTTAGAGCGAGTCTCGCGATGTTTGCTCTCTCTTGAAGCCCCAGCTCCTGGAGGCAGGTGATTACCAATAAAGGCTCAGCTTTCCCGCCACCGGCATCACCTGCCTCGCGGAGAAAAGCTTGGCAAGTAACCTAAAGGCACAGAAACCGGGCGGCAACGAAATGGAACCCAACCTTCATTGGGTCTTTTTTTTTGAAATCTCAGTCAGGTCTGACGAGGCCACGTTCCGGATTCTGAGGGCCTGGCTCGTCCTGTTTGATTGTCTTACGCCGGCAGCACTGAACGTGAGCGTCTCCAGGAGCCGGGCCTTCCAGGAAAACTGCACCCATTGCAAGACTCACTCTCAAAGCACGAGAGGCAGCAGATCCGTCTCTCTAGCTTGGCTCCTGGACACCGGGACCTCCTGCCCAAGCCCCAGGGGACAGTCACCTGCAGGGCTGATTGTTCTGCCACAGAGGCCCCAGTCACACCCGCTACTTACGCTGGGGAGGCGGAGGGTTTGTGACAGCTGGAGATGGGCAGGGCTGGCTGGTGGTAGGTTGCAGCCCTTCAGCATCCGGGGGCCCGGAGCCCCTCCTCACCGTGAATAAAATGTCAGAGAACCTGGCAGCTGGGACAGGACAGACAAAAGAATGGAGAGAAGGATGAGAAAACAAATGGAATGGAAAAGCGGCAGACAGGAGGAAAGCAGGGGAGGAGCAGGTGTGGGAGTAGCTGGTGTGGGAGGAGGGTCTGTATTGATTTCCAAGAGCAGGGCTTCCCCGGTGCTGTCAGGGACAGGGAGCAAGACTATGGACTCTGTGGCGCTAATTTCCCTCTAAGGACCCCTTGGTATTAATACCAAAACCAACCTGCCGTGGCAAAGCCCCTCGGTGCCACAAGGGGCTAGCCCAGGTCGTCGCCTTGCGGCAGGAGAAGGCTGCATTCGTCCTCCAGAACCCACCCCTGCATCCCAGTCTGGGCGAGGGGTGGGGGGCAGGCGACGGGCGGAAAGGAAAGGCTCCCGGGGCACTTCACTGCGTCGAGATGAACGCCTAACACGCTAAACGCAGACCACGCCCCCGTGCTGCCCAGCTGAGTGGGCACAAAGGGGCCACAGGCAGGCATCCCCTGGTGCAGGCAGCCCCTCTGCCCAAACACAGGGCTCTGTGCCAGCTCCCGGCAGAGTGGAGACCAGAAGGGACGTGGCAGGAGCAGAGAGCAGCGCAACAATTTTGCACCCTTTGCAAAGGCCCAGAGGCTGGGGTGCGATTTAGGGCAGCCCTCGCGTGCTCCAGGGTGGGGTGGAGGGGATGTATCTGCCCCCGCAGCCGCTGAACAGGGCAGAGTGGCTGGGGTTACTCCCTGCCCTCTAGGTGCCCTGTCCTCGGCATGGCTAGCCATTATAATCCCCTCCCTAACCTGGATCCCAGGCGAGTCCTGCCCTGCGTCCACCCGCACGACAGCCAGCCCCAGCACGGCTCTCCTGCCGGAGCCGATATCCCACTTCCCGGCTGCGTCCCCGTCGGACACTGACTGTGGGCCCCTGGGCCTGCCTGATGCCCCACACGAGATGGCAAAGCCCCACGAGTTCCCCCCGGGGCCCAGGCAGGGTTGTTCCCCCAGGACGTTTTCTAGCGCTCCGGCCACGAGGCCACTTGGGATGGGAGAGTGGCTGGACGGGCTGTGTGGGAGCAGGCCCTGCACCCCCAGGACGAGCAGTCCCGGTGACTTACACAGGGCAAGAGGAGATGGGCTGTACCAGGGCTCTTGGCTGGGGGAGTGGGGGAGAGCGAGCGGATACAGCAGGAGAGGGAGAGATCCCAGGGAAAGGAGGAACGCTGGGTTTCACACTGCGGGCTGCGGAGAGATGACCGTGGAGCCCTGAGGGGGCATGAATACAGAGAGAGCGACTGAGGCCCCAGGCTGGGAGCCAGGACTCCTGGGTTCTACGCCCGGCTCTGCCCCTGACTCCCAGGCGCTCCGTGGCATCGCCCGCTCTCTGACATGGGGCTGGTGACCCAGAGACCCACCAGAGGCTGTGGGGAATGCTGGCCGGGATCCCGCAGCCCAGGTACCTAGGGCGCAGGAGCTGTGGAACGGCAGAGAAAATCGGTTTGAAAACCAAGCCCCACAGCCCTGCAGGAAAAGGGGACGTCGACCTGGATCCCTGGGGGAGTCCCAGCTCGGGCCAGCCCAGCGCCGGCAGGGAACAGGAGAGGAGCCCAACGGCAGCCACATCGGCATGCAGCAAGCTCCAGCCCAAGGCATGCAGAGAGACTCCGGCCCAGCCAGGGCACACAAACAGCGCACCCTGTCCCAGACCCCCCGGCACACGCAGAGCGAGCCCCCTCCCAGAACCCCCCACCCCCGGCACACGCAGAGCGAGCCCCATCCCAGACTCACCCCCCCACCCCGGCACACGCAGAGGGAGCCCCGTCCCAGAATCCCCACAGGCTCCACATTCCCAGCTTCTGGCAAACAGAGGCTAGGGACACCATCTCTGCCCATCCTGGCTAATAGCATTGATGGACCTATCCTCCATGAACTTATCTATTTCTTTTTTGAACCCTGTTGTAGTCTTGGCCTTCATAATATCCTTTGGCAAGGAGTTCCACAGGTTGACTGTGCATTGTGTGAAGAAATACTTCCTTTTGTGTGTTTTAAACCTGCTGCCTATTAATTTCCTTTGATGACCCTAGTTCTTGTGTTATGAGAAGGAGTAAATAACACTTCCCTATCACTTTCTCCACACCAGGCATGATTTTATAGACCTCAAGCATATCCCCCCTTAGTCATCTCTTTTCCAATCTGACAGGTCCCAGTCTTATTAATCACTCTTCATACGGAAGCTGTTCCATCCCCCTCATCATTTGTGTTTTCCTTTTCTGAACCTTTTCCAATTCCAATATATCTTTTTTGAGATGGGGCGACCACATCTGCATGCAGTATTCCAGATGTGGGCATACCATGGATTTATATAGAGGCAATATGATATTTTCTGTCCTATTTTCTATCCCTTTCTTAATGATTCCCAGCATTCTGTTCGTTATTTTGACGGCCGCTGCACATTGAGTGGATGTTATCAGAGAACTCTCCGCAAGGACTCCAAGATCTCTTTCTTGAGTGGTAACAGCTAATTTAGACCCCGTCGTTTGATAGGTATCGTTGGGACTCACCCATGGAATTCAGCTCCGGGTCCTCTCTACTGACTCCTGCCAGTTCTGAGCCACGGCAGTGCCCCAAGCTGGGTGAACCCCCCCAAACTGCCCCTAGATCCCACAGGATTGAAGTGTCTCTGGTTCAGTGTCCCCTCTCCTGTCTCTGCCCCCTCGTCTTCCCCAGGCTCCCCGCTTGGCCCCCATTCTGCCCCCTCGCTCCCAGCCGACCCCACAACTGTCCTTCTCCTGGCTGATCACTCAAGGCTGCTAACGCAGAGATGCCAGCTGGCAGGCACGGCCTGCCACACCTTGCTGCCCGGCCAGCCCTGGGGGGCACCTGGCTGGCTGCTGGCGGGGCTGTTACCTTTCGTGTCCTCGTCCTCTATGGTGGTGTTGGTGCTGTCGGACGATTCCTGCGAAGACAGGCGGGAGAGGGAGAGAGACCAGAGAGAGCGTTAGGCAGGGCTGGGCCAGGGTCCCCCGGTGTCCGGGCCAGAGCCACGGCCCCAGCTCAACCCACGAGCCTTGTCCTGCGTCTGCCCCACATGTGGCCCCTCTGGGAGTGGTCTATTAGGGCCCCGCTCCTGCCCACTCTTGAGCCGGGAGTGATGCTCAGCAGAACTGTGATGTGGCAACCCCCTTCAGTACCCCGCTGTCACGGAGTCCCCGGGCGATGCTCTGGAACTGCTCCCCATGAAGCCAGGCAGGACTCTGGGGAAGTCTCCTCTCGGGGAGCAGCCTGTCTGCAGGACACACAGCTCACCCAGCTCCACCTTCCTGGGTCTGACCTCGGAGCATTCAGCAGCCTCTGCCCCTCCGTGCGCTTCCCAAAGCAAGTCCGCCCAGGTGGGGTCCTGGGGAAGCCAGAGGGTCCTGCCCCCCAACTTTGTAGTCAGACGGGACTCTCAGCCAGCCAGGAGAACAGAAGGTTTATTAGACAACAGGAACATGGTCTAACACAGAGCTTGTAGGTGCAGAGAACAGGACCCCTCAGCCGGGTCCATTTTGGGGGCGGGGGGGGGGGAGCCAGACAACCATGTCTGCACTTCACTCCATGTCCCTAGCCAACCCCAAACTGAAACTCCCTCCAGCCCCCCCTCCTCTGGGCTTTGTCCCTGTCCCAGGCCAGGAGGTCACCTGATTCTTTTGTTCTCCAACCCTTCAGCTCTCACCTTGCAGGGGGGGAAGGGCCCAGGCCATCAGTTGCCAGGAAACAGGGTGTCGGCCATTCTCTGTGTCCAGACCCCTGCACACACCTGCCCTCTAGGGCTCTGCAAGGATCATACACCCTTATCCCACCACCTAAATACTTAAGAACTGCATAGGGGAAACTGAGGCACCCCCACAATATTCAGAGGAAACATTAAGAACAGTCCCGCTTTGTCACATCTCTCCCCCCTTCGAGACCGAACTGAGCGGGGTCACTTTAGCCGGTGACCTGGGGAAGTTCAAAGCCACCAACGTTCCCATGGATGCCCCAGCATCTCTCCTGTTCCTTGGTGGGAGTTACACCAGGCCCTTCCAGTTTCACGCCCTCCCTTAGGTCGGGGGTGGTCGATAGCACTCGCATGCCACATGTGAGAAGGTTTATGCGGCCTATGCCGTTTTGCCACCCCAAAACACCCGGGGGTCAAACTGGGATCGGGTCTTCTCCCAGCGCTCTAGTCTGGAAGGCTGCAATTCGGGCTCTCTTGGTTAAGAGCCCCCATCTTGACCTGGGCCACATACTGTTCACTTACAGAACTAGCATGGAGACATTCCTCTCTCAACAACCTTGTCTCCCCAACAAGCTGGCCCAACACAGCCACTTGGTTATAGGTTATAATGTTCAACTTTCTTAACAGCTTTCACTCCATCTGAGACCTTCTCAAAGCTATCCACACTGGATCCTTCAACAGGAAAGTCAGTGGATCCATTCACAACCGAAAATTTCTGGCTGTTAGGAACTGAAACTTTCTTGATTAAATCACTTTCACACCCTTCAGTTGCAGAAAACTGCTTGCAAAGACTCCATGAGGATTCCTTTCCCTAGGGCTTTTCTATGCAACAATTCACCCCTCACAGAAATTCTGCTCTTACCCTCTTCACTGAGGGCTTGCTCTCTAGAGGAACACTTTCCTGAGCAACAACAGACTCTTTCTGGGTCTCCCTTACATTCAGAATTACCTCTGGCCCATCCGGCGGATTCCTACACAATCCCCGTTCAGGCAAACTGACAGACTTCCTAGATCCGAAGAAGTGAGCTGTAGCTCACGAAAGCTTATGCTCAAATAAATTGGTTAGTCTCTAAGGTGCCACAAGTCCTCCTTTTCTTTTTGCGAATACAGACTAACATGGCTGTTACTCTGAAACTTCCTAGATAAAAGGTTAGAAGCATTCTCCTTCCCTTTGCCACACACAAGTTTAGGAATCTTTTCCTTCTTGCTACAGGTTTCCACACCCTCAGTAGGTAACACGATCACATCACCTTCACACAGGGCCATTCTCCCGAGCAGACACAAACTTAGGACCATTCCCTTCCTGGGCTTTAGCTGAATCCAGAACCAGCTCTGAGACAACTGCACGACCCTCAACCATCACAGGCTGAAAGGCCCCTTCTGTCTGCTCCACAGACAAAGAAGAGCCGGACACACTTTCTCCTTTCCCAGCTTGGGATCTCATTCCCCTGGTCCCAGCACACAGGGCTGGTCACAGACAACTGCTTGGAGATCAGGGTAGCCCCCTCCATAGGCAAGTCAATACCCCTGACAGACACAGGCACGTTTCCTTCACTGTCCCACTTCTCCACCCAGCTAACAGGTAAGGTCCAGGGACACTCATCTTCCACTCTCCTCGCCTTCCCACCCTGCTGACTAGACACAGCCATCAGCTCACAAGGCTGCCTAGGCTCATCCAGACTTTCCTTACCAAGCACCTTGCCACTCCCCACAGATCCCCTGCCCTGACTGTGTCTCCCCCCACTCAGCTGGGGTCTCAGCTCCCCCCTTGCTCAGCGCTGCCCTTGCTGTCCCAGTGGGGTAGGCAGCGAGCTCCCTGCTTTCCTCACTACACCAGAGCCAGCCTGAGCCCCTGAGCCCCCCTCTCCGGTGTGCAGGGGAGCAGAGAGCATCTCTCTGTCCCACCCAGCCCCAGGGGGCTGGTTACAGGCAGGCAGGTAGCCTGAGCCTAGCCGATCCTCCCCCCTGCCAGCCAGGTCATCTGCATTTTCACTGACCATTTCCCTCTCCGCCGATTGGTTCCCTGGATTCAAATTCAAACCCTTGGCAGTTACAGGAGCAGGGAGCCTGGATCCTGTCCCAAAGAGACAGAGTCACCCCACAACAGGGTCTCGCAGCTGGTGTCCTGGAGCACCCCAACGGCCGGCCAGCCCCACCCCTCCTGGGTCTGCACAGGGATCTGGGCCATAGGCAGGGCGAGGGGCTTCATCCCTGGGACCCTCACCCAGCTCACACAGCCCCTCAGCCTCTGAGGCTGCACCACCCAGGGTCTGACACCAGTTCTCTCTGTCCCAGGATCTCGCCACCCCAGGAATGTCTCCCCATTGACCATCCCCTTCCGCTCCCACTGGGGGTCCGAGGGGCCTGACCCCAGGGAACTCCACACAGACATATAGGTTGGGGTCAGGAGTGGGAGCCCGTCCACCTCCCCACCCATCTGGCTGACGGAGTCTATGGCCTTGGGACCCAGCAAGGGAGCTAGACACCGGGGCTTTTCCGCAGGGTCCCCCTGGTTCAAATCTCCAGCCTGCTCAAAGGCAGTGAGGTGGCATCCACACACCCCCCTCCTTAACCAGGGGCAGCAATTTAGTCTCGAGGTTCCCTGCGGAACTGGCCCCCCGGGATCTATCCCCACTCATCCCTGGGAGGTCCCCTAGGCCTCTCCACCCCACCACCGCCAGTTCATGCTGCTGCTGCTTCTGCAGCTCTTTCTCGGGCTCTCGCTGTCTCTCACAGTCCTCTTGCTCTCTCGGACTCAGCTCCAATCCCGTCTGTCTCCGATCCCCGGATGGGGAACCCGATCGTGAAGACCCTCGTCTGGTCGGGGACAGGAGTCTTGGGGATGCCTGGCTCCCACTCCAGCTGCTCCCAGATCCTGCTATAGCCCCAGTTGGGGTCAGGAATCTGTTCCTTAGAGCGGTCATCCTCCTCCAGCTGCACGATTAACTCTGCTTTGGTGAACTTTCCAACGCTCAACCCTCTCTTCCTGCACAGGGTTACAATGTCCTTCTTAAGGAGACGGTGACAGGCCATCGCTCCGCTCTTCCCAAGTTGTTGTGGACTCACAGGCCTGTGTGCTCTCAGCTCCCCACGGTCTCCAGGGAGAACCCCTAGTGTGCCAGCCCTTCTCGAGGTCACCACCTCTTTGCCAGGGCCAAGCCGCAGGCTCCTCCGCCCCTGAGACTGCTCACTGCAATCCCCAGGGGGACCCCATTACTGCACAGTCCTTCTCGCTGGTCACACACTCCCAGTGGTTAACCGCCTCCCGAAACCACTCCTCTCTGAGCCTTCAGCATGCCTGGTCCTCGTCAATCCCCCTTCATTTTACTGCTCCTGTGACGAAGTGGGACTGTTCTTAATGTTTCCTCTGAATAGTGTGGGGGTGCCTCAGTTTCCCCTAGGCAGTTCTTAAGTATCTAGGGGGTGGGGTAAGGGTGTATGATCATTGCAGAGCCCTAGAGGGCAGGTGTGTGCAGGAGTCTGGACACAGAGAATGGCCAACACCCTGTTTCCTGGCAACTGATGGCCTGGGCCCTTCCCCCCTGCAAGGTGAGAGCTAAAGGGTTGGAGAACAAAGGAATCAGGTGACCACCTGGCCCGGGAAAGGAACAAAGCCCAGAGGAGGAGGGGCTGGAGGGGGTTTTCAGTTTGGGGCTGGCTGGGACATGGAGGGAAGTGCAGACGTGGTTGTCTGGCTCACTGCCCCCCAGAATGGACCCAGCTGAGGGGTCCCGTTCTCTGCACCTGCAAGCTCTGTTTTAGACCATGTTCCTGTAGTCTAATAAACCTTCTGTTTTACTGGCTGGCTGAGAGTCACGTCTGACTGCGAAGTTGGGGTGCAGGACCCTCTGGCTTCCCCAGGAGCACCGCCTGAGCGGACTCGCTGGGGGAAAGCGCACGGAGAGGCAGAGGATGCTGAATGCTCCGAGGTCAGACCCAGGAAGGTGGAAGCTGTGTGAGCTGTGTGTCCTGCAGACAGGCTGCTCACAGAAAGGCGACTGCCCCAGAGTCCTGACTGGCTTCATGGGGAGCAGTTCCAGAGCATCGCCCAGGGACTCCGTGACAACTGGTGGCAGAGGTGGGATGTACTGCGCCCCGTGGATGGCGCTTCCTGCAGTAAGTGACTGGGGAGCAGTAACACGAAGGGGGATTGCCGAGGACCAGGCCTGCTGAAGGCTCAGAAAGGAGCGGTTTCG